GACTTTGAACTTGTGGACCAGCCGTACCGTAAGTGTCCACGTATGTCATGACGGGTAGGACGCACTCATTAAAGACTCGTCTTAGGCACTGTGGGATCGACGATGAGAAGACTCGACGTAGCTTCCCAAACGCTGACCAACCCAACCGAATTCTTCTGTTCACCTCGTCCTCGAAGTTGTTTCTACCTAACTGCAATATCTGCCCGAGGTACACATAATTTTGAACAACTTCGAGAACGGCACCGTGTACCGCAATCGGTTCCGGTAGTACATGTTCGTTGAACATGACCTTGGTTTTATCCAAGTTCATCCGTAGGCCGATGCGTACAGAAGTGTCAGCTAGGTCATTCAGCATTTTGCTGTAGGTCCTGCAACGTCTCTGCCATGATGACGATGTCGTCTGCAAATCGCAAGTGAGAGATGTATTCGCCATTGATATTGATGCGACGCCCTTTCCAGTGCAGCGTTTTGAACATGTCCTCCATTGCATTTGTGAACAATTTCGGGGAAATAACGTCCCCTTGTCTCACTCCTCGATGCAATGGTACGGGCCTTGTTTGCTGATTCTGTACTTGGACGGACATGGTGGCGGCTTCGTAGAGACATCTCATCACTTGGATGTATCGCCAATCTACTTGGCAACGCTGCAGGGACTCCAGAACAGACCAGATCTCGATCGAGTCAAAGGCTTTCTCATAGTCCACGAATGCTAGACACAGGGGCTGATTATATTCTTCGGTCTTCTGTATAATCTGCCGCACTGTGTGGATGTGGTCTATGGTGTCGAAACCCAGCTTGCTCCGGTGGTTGGAATTTGTCGAGTCTTTGCGCAAGACGGTTCGTCATGACTCTCGAAAACAGCTTGTAGACGTGGCTTAGAAGGGATATGGGTCGATAGTTCTTCAACCTGGTCTTGTCACCCTTTTTGAAGAACAAGGCAACCACACTCCTACTCCACGCTTCCGGAGTTCTCCCATCAAACAGGACAGCGTTGAAGAGCTTTTGGAGCTCCCTTAGTACGGGTTTACCCCCAGCCTTTAGCAGCTCTGTTGTAACGCCATCCTCTCCAGGGGCTTTTCCATTTTTCAGCTGTCCAAGAGCCATCTCGATTTCGTCAATGCTAACTTCTGGCAGATCTTTGGTGTAGTGACGTGTTAATGTGGCTCTCGAGTCCTCATTTTCGGGATCAGGTCGAGATGCATGCGAAGCGTATAACCGGGCCATAGAAGCTTTCCACTTTCAAAAGGACTGCCGGCTTCGACGCAACGACTTCTCCACTTTCTGTGGTCAACTTTGTCAGGTGGCTTCTTCCAAGAGATTGTACGAACACTTTTGACCCCCGATTTTGCTCGATCGCTCTTTCAATTGAAAGAGTATTGGAGCACCGGAGGTCGTGTCGTACGAGTTTAGTGATCTCTCGGTTTAGAGTCCCCTTTGCCGACAAAGTACCAGGTGGGTTTTCACGTCGTTTCTTCATCAGCCCTAGGGTCCTTTCTGAAAGCTTAGACTTTCTGCCCTTAAGCTGCATTTCACAAAATGTCGTACCTTTTTCCCTGAGGATCCGAACCACATTTTCGAGGTTCTGGCTTACGTCGATTGTGGTTTCCACGACAGCGAATCGGTTTTCCAGTTTTGACTGGAACGTTTCAGATCCTGTCATGGCTTGCAGCAGAGTCGGTCGGAGCCTGGATTTCATCAAACAGACACGTTCCGCTTTAAAGTTGATATTCAGAGAGCCCCGGACAAGTCGGTGATCACTACCGGTATTAAACCTATTGATCACTGAGACGTCTCTGAATATGTGCTTTCTATCCGTCATGATGAAATCGATCTCATTTCTAGTCATAGCGTCGAGGCTTTGCCACGTCCACTTCCTTTGGGGCTGTTTCTTGAAGAAAGAGTTCATCTAAAAGAGCCACTCCCGTTCCAGGAAGTTGACCAGCATTTGCCCCCTATGATTCCTGCTTCCAAATTCATGGGATCCTACTACCGATTCGCCGCAATTCTGTACTCCCACTTTAGCGTTGAAGTCACCCATAACAACGTTGTAGTGGGTCTTAGTCGTGAAGTGGAAGGCCCTCGATATGTCATCGTACATATCCTCAATCTCGTCGTCCGAGTGTGCCGAGGTCGGTGCGTACACTTGCACAACCTTGAGGCTATACCTCTACCCTGGTACGCTACCCTGTTCGACACACTGGAAATTTCAACAACGTTGTCAGATAGGGACTTATTTACCAGAAACCCAACGCCACCTTGGGATTGTTGGTCTCCCTCGCGAGATTATATTAGGTAGCCTGACTCGAGGGTTATGGTGTCCTCCCCATCTCTTCGGACTTCACATAGCCCTAGGATATGCCACCTAATCTTCCCAAGTTCCACCTCAAGTTGCGCCAGATGCGAGTCTAGCAGTAGCGTGCGTCCGTTGTACGTAGCCAGGGTCAGTCGGTTGTGGTGGCCTCCCGTAGCCCGGAGATTCTTCGCACCCCCTGCCCCGCCTTTACCGTGGTCGCCACCATGACCAGGAATAGAAGGGCCGCCGGGAACTGGGGGCCGTGGCCTTTGTTGCGTCTGCATGGGGAGGGTTTGCCCATAATCGCCACGCTGGGCAGGCGGGTTGGCGATCGCAGGGCGTAGCTTGTCGCACCGGTAACGCTGCTGCCCGTCACCGGCCTGTTGTATTTAGCTACGCCTATTGGAATGGATAGACCGCTATGGGTCGGTCGCCAGTGCCTCGTTCGTCGTTCAGCAGGATGCACCGCGGGCAGGTGAGGTTGGCTTGGGACGAAAGATGGTGGTTCGCCCCTCACACTCCCCTCGTCAGCCTAAGTCAACTCGATTTTTTACGTATGTGGCGTATTATATTTTTAACGTAATTTTTGGACCTATTTTTTTGAAAATAAATAGTCATTGACAGTCGAGGTATTGGTTTTTGACTTATCAGTTTCATGTGACCGTGTCAATAGTATCTGTTACTAACAACTAGTACAAGTCGTAGTAGGCTTCAGTACCTACTTATAACTTTTAAATGTCATATCTAAATAAGTAGATGATTGATATGTCTAAATAGATTGTCAAAGAAAAAATAAGTGCCCAACATTTGGCTACAAGTTCCTTTCCGCTGTCGCTGCTTTCGCTTGATTTGCACGCTCATTAACAAAGATTTGAACACTTACCAACATAATAAAGTTGATCCGTCTGTTTTAGTTGTTTTTAGTTCGACACTCTATCTAGACATACGTGATCTAAGCAAACAAGCTATTAAATATTCTTTCTGTCGATAGTTTTGTTGAGTAAACTAAGTTTGTAATTATCTATACGTTACTAACATACAGTAATAATAATATACATGTAAATACTCTGCATTATTATTATCTCTCTTATTTAGTAGGTGACCAAAACGCGATTGAAAAATTAGGAAATAGACAAAGTATTTTCCAAAAGAAGTTTTGATAGGTACATAAAATTACTCAATTTTGGTGATTGCTTATCTACATTTATGATTACTGTGCCGCTTCTAAGGATCAAAGGCTGATGGTAACTACGGCTCCTCAAGAATTGGACTATCAAATACAGTATGAATTTTTTAATGCGCTTAGTTGTGTTAAAGATTAGTTACAAAAGATGTTGTAACAACGATATTTATTCGGTACTAACTTTTACTCGTGGCTTTACTAGCGTTAATATCAATTTTGACAATCAACTTTTACTTAATAATAAAATTAAGTGTATTTTTTTTAACCAAGCTTTTATAGACCCTGTGTATCATGTAGCACCAAAGTGCACACTAAGACAAAACAAATGTTTATCTAGTGTTGTTAAGAAGTTCCTATGGCCGGCTTCTGGTTCCATCATCAGAAAAATTCCATGGTATTATTGTTTTTTTTTACTGAAGATATATATGTACACCAAATTTGAGACCAATCGGACATCTAGAAGTGGTTCTAATTTAGCTTCCAAGTTTCGTGCCGAATACAGTCACACATACATACGTATAAACATTGCATGTTAAATAAAATATTGTAAAAAGTAGCTTATGTGTTATTGTATGTATGTAGCTTATGTATCATTCAGATCTGTCCAGTCCTTCTAACATGATTGAGTAAATTAAAAAGTATAAATTAGAAATGTGTAATTTATTAGTTCAATGGAGATCGGTTTAGATGTTAAGGTTTAAATTATCTATGACCTATTTCTCTATAGTTACGTGGTTTTTCAAGTGACATCATCGTAATCTGATCCAAAACAACATGTAGTTCTGCTAATAAATGGGACATGTGGGGCGATGACTGTCATACTGACAGATTAAAGCTCAGCTTTGTAAAAGACGTTAGTAGACTAATACAGAGTGTTGTAAAAAGGTGTAAGAAGGTCATATTTCAGTGTGGTATACTATACCCCATAAATAATGTAAGCCACTAGCAATATTAGGAAATTACGTAATTTTTATAAGGAAATCTTATTGCGACTTTATATCTTAGCCAATCGTCCACCAGTTTAAACGTATGCTTTAGTGATAACTATTAAGGTGCTGATAAAGTTAAGTATTCATTTGAAATCAAACACCGGGCATTCGCATTTTAAAATTATCAGGCGTGCGGGAAGTGTGGCCAGAAAGGGACGAAAAAGCTCGAAACAAATTAACTGTTCTTTGGCTAGAATGCTGGCTAGAGCTACTGCAGATTGAATGTTTCTTTCTTTTAATTTTTCCTAAGTAATTAAACATTTTTTTGACTCCGATTAGCCTAGCAATAGCCCGATACTTCGAACGATTTGCCCTTACCCACCCATTGCCCAATTGTTTCGCATAAGAAGTAATTCATCTACTATTTACGTGTGGTAGTGTGCTGTCTGTCAGTCCACTAAATTGATATATGAACTTCTATCAGTGTGTAGATACAAATCTCAGTGAGAGCTTGTTAAACTTCTGTGACGCTCGCTGAAATGCGCTTGCGGGAGTAAATGTACTATTGAAAAATTTCGCGGGATTGTGTGTTACTATGGCGGGTTTAAGGTAAGAGTTTACTTAATTTTTTATTTTTATTATTATATGTAAGTATAGTCTTCAACGTTTTAGGCTGTTTTTTTGTTAATAATAATAATTTCCTGGACAATGAATATTTTAAGGCTTATTGTTTTTTGTAAAGGTTTTTAATGTGAAAAAAGTATACAACGATTCTAAAAGTCTGTAATATCTGTGTCTGTGTAATATATTCCTAATGCGGAAAATGTCTTTTTTAAATTAACATAAAGAGAGTCGCCATGCATCTTCTGACCATAAGGGATTTTAGTGATAATTCAATGTTCAAAATCAGCCGTCTTCATTTTAAATCTGTGTTCAAACGACTGAAATGCAGCAATAATAATGTTAGATAATTTAATTTTAATTCCTCTCTTACGTAGTTGTAACAGTTCTTAATAACTCTAAGATCATATCTGGGAGGGAGAACAAAACTGTCAACATAATGCCATAGATATAACTTAGTGTACATGAACTAGGCTTTCCTTTCTAGGCCATACTGGATTCCCCGGGTACTGGTAACTGGAGACGGCGTGTGGTTTTTAGTCGGTTTGAGTCCGACATAATCACCCACTGGTGGGTGGTATGCGGGGGGATTTCCACACAAAAAAAAGTTTACATAAACTATTGTTTAGGATGGCTTAAAACATAAACTATATACTTATAAACTACATAAGTCGCTGATGTTAAAAACGAATATTGCAGTGTTTTTGACGGTTTTCTCCATCTGTTATTTTCAACAATCATCCGATTTCACTAAAAGTATAGACAGTCAGTTTCAAACAAACATTATACAAATAAAAATGATGAATATCAACGAGCCAAATGAATACGATGATAACATCACATCTCCGAATTGTAAGAATTAATGTGCGGTTGCATTTCAACACTGAATCATACGTTTCCTGAGTAATTCGTCTCCTCAGTGACATCAACTGCCTAAAGCAAATTTATTTAATGATAGTAATAATAAGTTTCTTCAGTATCGCGACCAATAAGTAATAATAAATAAGTAATAACAGTGTCACCACCCCCATTCATGCCGTGGGTGTCGTAAGAGTCGACTAAGGGAGCAAACTACGCAGAACAACAGTACTGCAAAGAGAAGGAAAACTTGAAAAAACCCTATACCAACCCGTCTGGCCATCGTGGTATAGTAGGCCAAAACTTCCTTTCTAACGAGAGGCCCAGCGATGATCAAAGAACGTTTTCTATTGCTTTAGACAATGCATTAATTTCAATGAATGATGAATTATTGAGTGAATGCAAATTGACTTTAAAAAATAATTACTTATTAAAATGTGCCCAAATCGTAACAAATTATAATAAGCTGTATTCTTCTTCCATAAATTTTTCATCAATCTTTAGTAGAACCAATTTTATTAGAAAAAGAATTATTGAAATCGCTTCAAAAATAATGTAGATATGGCTCAACACACACAATAAGTATTCCATCGAGTTAAGACCTCGTTTTTAAGGTTGGTTAAAAAAAAATATTGATATATAATAATAATAATAATAATTTCACACATCACACACACGGCCGTCTGATCCCAAACTAGGCAGAGCCTGTAACTATGGTAATCAGACTGCTGATAAACATACTTATATATTTCTAAATAAATACATAATTTAGATAAATTACAACCAGACACAGAACAAATGATCGTGCTCATCACACAATTATTTGTCCTGGGTGGGAATCGAACCCACGACCTCCGGTTTAGCAGTCAGGGTCACTAACCACTAGACCAATAGCATATGCACATAGAGCTCAGCTTTACATGCATTAGTGCAGTTTTGAAGGGTTCTTGAACTTATTTTTTATTTATTTTATAATCTACCGAAAACTGAAAACAGCCAGATACGTGTGTCCAACATGCAAGATAGAGGTTGTCCGTAAACGACCTTATGTTTTTTTGTTTACCATAGTACACTGTTTATTCATTAATACATACGTTTACATTTACTATCTCAAACTATATATTTTGGAATCCCAATAAATATATAAACTACGTAAAGAAAATTCTTTGTGTTCCATTTTTAACAAAAATGAAACACTGCAAAATATATTTAAATTTACTAAAGCATTTGCCTTCGCTGTAAAATTTTATGTAAGAAAAACGTATGAGAGACGTCTGCGTGTAGCTGAAATGTAATAAGATGTATATGTGATGTGATATACCAGGTGTGGTATGAATACTTTAGAGGAAGGAAGCCTGAAAGTAGCGCCACTGAATGAAAAGTTGAGAAGCAACAGGTTATCCTAGTATGGACATTTAATGCGTAGAGATGAGCAAAGTGAGGTGAGAAAAGTGTTATACTTGAAAGTTGACGAATATAAAGATTAACCAGTAAAGGCGACCAAAAAATATTGATGAATTGCGTGAAAGAGGATATGTCTAAAACGGCAGTTTGCAGTGAACTGACGAGTAAAAGAGGAGAATGGAAGAAAAAAACTTATTGCACCGACCCCAAATTTTATTTTGGAAAACGGTAAGAGGATGAAGATGATTTCATTTAAGACCTAAACTTTATTTTTCATTTTGAGAGGATATAGTTAGTGATGCATAATATAAGTATATCACTATGTTAGTATTATTATTTTACTTTAGTACCAGTAGTTCATAAATTAGTTATTAAAACGAGACACTTAGTGTTATTAGGAAATATGTGTTGACACTAATGTTGTCTTGATTAACACGGAACAACATTGTAAAGGTACTCGTTAATATATTGATTATGCAATTTCTGTTCAATTAGACGGAGTTGGTTGACCATGGGAATCAAGAAAAAATAAATCATATTGTCATTATCATCATTTACCTGGCCTTTCGCAATTTACTTAGAGTCAGTGCAATGTGTTTTTAATGCAATAATGGGCAATGAACAAACTGGGCCTCAATTCTTCTATTTTAAAATTGTATCAATAGACTGTCGATAAAACGTCGTCGGAATAGTTTTGCACTTTTGTTATTCTACTAACTATGTAAGACCAATGGCCTCCCGATGACTTGTCACTGATATAAATGTCGTCGATGTCTTTGTAATACTCGTAGTTTGGTAAACGGTACATTTTAAATTTGTAAGAAAATGATATATTTAATTTTCATGATATGGCAATGTTGTTGATATCACCATTGATGACCTATATTACTATATCGACACTCTATTGACACTGTTAATTTATGTTAGTAGAATAGATATACTTAGACCGATGTCAGTGGCATCACAATGGCATCTTAATAGCGTAACAATGGAATTAAAGTGGCTTGGCGTTAACATAAAATAGCAGAATTGATGCCCTGGTCACCTGATGGTAAGTGGCTACCGCCGCGAATGGAGACCTGCAACTCAAGAGATACAAGTGCCTTGCCACTCTATGTGTGCCCTGCCCCCAGAATTAGGGGCAGGGGAAGGTTAGTCCTCTAGTAACCTCACTCATTAGTCGGTGAAATGCAACGATAGAATTGTTCAACAACGGTTTCAGCCGCCCCTTAAAAAGCTTGGGTGGATTCTAGACTTAGAACGATCTAGTAGGCTGATGACTAGTTTGTTCTAGAACTATTTAAAAGTTTAATTTCACATCCTGCCTGATCACCGTGCCTGCTTGTTAAAATAGCTTAAAATAAATCTTTTCTTACCATATTTTTTTTAAACCAAAATGAACGTTGACCCAGCTTGTCAATTTCAAGTGATTTGACGTCACAAATCGTTAAAGGAACCATCAAATTGGTTGGCGTATTCATTGACTGTTGAAGGTCATCTTAAGTAGGACATCACACGAGATCAATTAATTTGTTGACCTACGTGTATCGAGATTCGATGCCCGAAGTGGGACGGGTCTGATGTTTCAATTTATTTTATACTCTGACAATATATTGGGGGGTTAATACGAGTATAAGATTGATAGTTGAAAAACAAACATTTAAAGTATCGATTAATTGGTTTTTAAATGAGAATTTATTAAAATGATTAATGAATAATCCTTTCGCTTATACTTTCAACCGACTTCATAAAAGGAGTACTCTCTTAATTCAACAGTACAAAATATTTTTTTGTTTATTTATGACATAATTTAAATCATTTGTGAACAGATTTGGATAATTCTTTTTTATTTGGTAAGATTGGTATGTTCGTCAAAAGGCTCAGGGAACTTGAATCAATGAAGTTGAGTAGACTCGTGGGATTCATATAGTTTTAACCGATAGATGTTGTCACCATAAATACTTTTAGTCCAGTCATTTAAGCTTAAATTAGGTAAGAATCTCGGAATTCGAGATACCCAGCTGTAAGTCTGTAAATACTTGTATATTGACACCCTAAAAGTTGTCTCAAAACCTACATATGGTAGGGTGTAAGCAACTATTAAATTTCACAAAAATCGTTTTTTTGCGCTTTTTTTGGAAATATCTCATTTCCTATGGGTTTTTGCTATTTGTATTTATTATCAATATTGTAGAATACAAAATTCTCTATCTCGAATTCCGAGGTGAACTTACTATAATGACTGGACTATTTGACGTAGAATCTAATAATTTTGTTTGTCATTTCAGGCAAATCATCTTTATACTTGTGATATTTACATTCAGAACGAGTAATGGACAAACAGGTATGACAATAATACATGTTGCACGGCGCTATTTAGACCTAAACTAAGAGTTTCTATTAACTCTGCCCTCTTTAGTTTAGTGAAATTATTCTACCTGTATATTCTCTTAGTGTAAGTGACAAAATCTATATAAATAAATAAAATTGACCTGTCTCTTTGTAATATCAAAATAATAGGTTTTTATCATGCTCACACGGTTATTTACACGATACCTATGTCTAAAACTAGTTTAAATATTTTTTGTCTGTCTGACGGAAACATGTTAGCTTATTGCTCAACATGTTTTCGTCCTATTTCACAAAACATTCTTACACATTACAGGCAAGAGAAAGAGAGGAAAGATGTTAAAGATTAAAAATAATGAATTTTTCTCCATTTACAGAAGTTTATGTTCAAAATACAACGACTATATCACCTTTGATCAATATGCCACCGTGTTCTCCAAACGCGACCGGTCACATGGATTTCATCAGTACGGTAGACCTCATAGCTGTGTATCAGCTAGATCAGCCGAACACTAAAGGTATCACGAGGGTACAAGGCTCACAAAGTCTGCAGAAAGCCTACAGGATAGGAAAAGACGCGAATTTGACGAGGCCTTTACCGTAAGTGTGTTGTAAACGTTCCTTCTTGACGTAAGAAAATCTAGTAATTTGCTAAATTCTGCTCTGTTAGTAGTAGGGGAGCCCGTGATGCTAAATGAGGAATTCCTCGAGCGTCATGGGGACGATTTTATGCTCGTAGCGAATTATCGAACATGAAAAAAACTAATTCGAAAAATCACCATTTCGAAATACCCGAGCGTTTCAGATTTTATACAGACACATCGCATCACACACATGAACAGCCTTTAGTAGTCCACTGCTCGGCATAGGCATCTTCTTAGAAAGGAGGTTTTGGCCTACTATACCATGCTGGCCAGACGGGATGGTATAGGGTTTGTTTCAAGTTTTTCTTCTCTTTGCAGTGCTGTTGTCCTGCGTAGTTTGCTTCCTTAGTCGGCTCTTACGATACCCACGGGATGAATAGGGGTGGTGACACTTCGTATGTATAATCCGTCACCACACGGACAACTTTATACAGACGGTTCAGCTTAATGTTCTTCCCATGCTAGCCAAAAACCTGACGATAATTGTGGAGGGTATTTTAAATCTGACGGTTGGAAAGATTTTTAGACGGAAAAATTATGTAGACATTTAAAGAAACCTTGTCTTGTTTGCTTCAAAATAAAAATAAAATGTCAAGAGCACATGTTTTTTTTAAACTTTGTGCTCAAATCGTCAGATATTTTTTTTATTGACACAGTTTCGTGTTGTCAAAAAAAAAACCGAACAGTGTTCTGCCCCATTTTTGATGAAATATTGTTGTTACTTATCCTTTATTGAATTGAGTCGAGTTGAGAACTTCCAAAGAAGCATGTGTTGGTAAAATTATAATTCGAACCTAAATTAGATGAATTGGGGAAGGGAAGGGAAGATAACTGTATGTAATTAACACTGTACGATCTGAATTCGAGACCGCGATTAGGATGACCGCGATACGTAGTGTAGGGGGGCCCTACGGCACGATGGAACGCGACTTGAGGAAAATGGCTGGCCTTGGGGGGAGGCCTTCATTTAGCAGTGGACGGCAATAGGCTGAAGAAGAAGAAGATCTGAATTGCAATTCTGAGTGAAGAGACTTCTGTAATTAAAGCATTCTGTGGCATTACTGCCATCACGTCGCGATTGAGGGGGCAAGTGTATTTCCCCTGGGATAGAGCCTGATTAGACATGGTGACGATTCGGTGAGGCCTTGAGGGATTTTGAACCCCGTCCACACAAAAAAAGGTAGCTTTAAATAGACTGACAAATTATATTTGTCCTCGGCTCCGCCCGCATTAATGTCGGTTATTGCGAGGCTAACAGTAGCCTATGTCTTTCTTCAAGAATCAAAGTATCTCCATAACAAATTTCTTCTAAATCGGTTCAGCGGTCATTGATTCCCATTAGAAACTTCCACCCCCCTTTTCACCCCCTCAAAGGAGGATTTCTCGGATAAAAGCTACCCTATGTCCATTACCGGGACTCGGACTATCTCTGTGTCAAATTTCATCTAAGTCGGTTCAGAGGTTTAAGCATGAAGAGGTAAGACAGACAGACACACTTACGCATTTATAATATTAGTATGGATTTGTGTGACCGTGTAAAAACTCATAAATTATTTATTCAATTAATTTACAACTGTATGAAAAAGCAACTAAAGTATTTCATTTCTTTCCAGTGAAGTTTTCCCAGCTGGCCTGCCTCTTCACTTTAATGTCATCGGTACGTTTAATGCCCGTGGCCATCGACGACCCTGGAGTTTGATCAAAGCCAGGTCCAAAAGATTACTGTTTTCGTTAACCTTGTTGCCAGTTACGAAGAAAATAGCTGTCTTCTATAGAGGATCTAGAGTGGTGTTTAGCAGTTTAGAGGTAAGAGGAACGTTCAATTAAATAAATGTCTTTTTAGTTCTTTATTTTGGATTGCTGAGTCCTTAAGTCTTTCCAGGGTACTTATGTATCTTTTTACTATTATGGGCTGGATGCCTTATCGCTGAACCGACTCGTATGTGTTGAGTAGGGGTTGTACACTGTAAATCTGAACTGTTAGGGGTTTTTACAGAAAAAAGTTTGTTAATTCTAAATCTGCATATTTTAAACCCTGTCCTCTCGTGGATAATATTCATATAAATCGCAAAAGCTTACAATCAATTAGTTACGAAAAAAATGAAAATTAACAGTTGCAAAATTAGAATTTAAATTCATTTAAGTGCTGAACATATATTACGTATACCATACTCATTAATTTTAGTACTATACCATACTTATTATATGATTAGATAAACAACTTCTGTTTAACCTCTTTCCAGATATTCACTCCAGGTTGGCACAAGATTCACGCGGCGATTGTAAATGAAACGGTTCATATTGCTGTCGACTGTGTTGAGGTGCGTTTTTATACGGTCTATTGGTATGAAAAACTTTAATTGCAATATAATCTTTTTTTAATGGAAGATTGGGCAAACGAGGACAAGGGTAAAATGACTACCGCCGCCCATGACCGCCTGCAACTCAGGAGTCACAAGGAGTGCAAGGCAAGAAGTGTCTTAAAAAGCGCATAATGGTGAAGTGCCAATTATCTAAGTGATGGGAATGAGAATGTTGCCGTGTGAAACAATGGCGGAAAGTTGCGGTCGGTATTAGTCTGAACCTTAATTATAAAACAGATGTTGATACAAAAAAGAAAAGATAACCTGCTTTTTATTTATAATTAGGAAATGCAACCATTTATTTAAATCAGACTAGATTTGGATGTGAGATTCTAGAATATTAACACTTAATACCTGGTTGAGAAAATGAGTCTTTAGGCTTTGGATCTATAAAAAATATCACAACAAAACTGTTAAAATTTAAAAGAATATCTATTTAGATACTGCTTTTTTTTCATAGCTCCTTATTGTTTCTAGCTACGAGTATTATTAACTTTAAAAAAGTATCACCGACTTTTATGTGCCTGCTAAACTGTTTTCTTCGTTCCTTAATTTTCATCCCTTAAAGTATAGTGTTTCCTTCAAGTTGAAACAAGACCAACGTTGAGTATCACTAAACTTCTTTTGAAAAAATTATGAATTTCAAACGACGAAGCTACCTTGGTAACAAACCCAAAAAAAAGTTATCAATTAAGAACTCATCTTTATGAAGCCTGTTGATATGAATAGATAAGGTTTTTTTCGTTTTACAGCTGAAACCTGCAAAAATTGCTGTCCAGGACTTCATGAACGCTACTTCTGTCACTATAGTATCAAATGACGATGGCACTCCGGCACCGGTAAGTGAAAATATATATTATTAACTGGTGATTATACATAATTAAGTTTTAAAAAGGTATTAATGATTTCAATGCCCCTACACCATGATGAATTGGATAAAGCCGTATTCTTCATTCTTTAGATTTCTTCCTTAAAGCTGGAATTATTTTCGTCACTTTTTTTTAAAGGCAACACACTCTCTAGGAATATATCCTGGGTCGCGGGTATCTTTACAAAAAACTTGAAACGGATGCAAAGAACACCCAGACTCAGAACGACAATCTGTTGGTCACACAAAGTTTCGTCCCATGTGGGGATCGAATCCATAACACTCAGCGTAGTAGGAAGCGGCGTGGCGATCACTTAAACCTCTACGCCATCAGTGCAGTCAATTTAAATGGGTCCAATATACCCCTGAAACAATAAAACATTAATTCTGTTCGCTATTAACGGATTTTATTAGAGAACAAATACTCTTTCTTCTTTTCAAACACATTGCCGGGACGCAGGACTATGCATACTTTTCATCTCGTTGTTTTTTGTCTATGGATGGAAGAATTACTGTTACGGGAACGAAGCTACGGGTAAATGTTGGCTAGGAAACTTAAAAAAATCATAAATTGAGAGCTATTTATTGAATGGCTTTTAATTGGCAATTAAGAGAGATTCTTTTCTTCGGACCCCTACTTTCACTAAGAATGTAAATTGTAAATGTCATACGATAGCTATTGTTAAATTGTTTACATATCAATACGTAAAGAAAATTCTTTGGACCAATATTCGTTCGGCAGCATATCATATTTTGAATATTTAATGTTTATATGCAGTAGAAGTGCACACGGCGATAAAATTTACACATTATCCATACTTCCATATTTATAATATAAATTTGAAAGTGAGTTTGTTTGTTTGGATATTTGTTTGTTACGCTTTTACGCCTAAACCACTAAACCGATTTGAAAATTCTTTCACCGACGATGGAAAGCTACATTATCCGCTAGTAACATAGTCTACTTCTTACCGCGATAAACGAAATTAACGTGGGCGGAGCCGCGGGCAAGAGCTAGTGTGCTATAAAGTAAAAAAGTATGTAGAAACGCCAACATAAAATGATAGTGGTCGACTATATATGGTTGACCTGTCATGTCATTAAAGTCCATACAATGACGTTTGAAGTTATACTAGTCCATGATTTAAACAATTTATGATGGTCGAAACTTCGAGCGCCAAAGGATTTCTAGTTATTATTAATATGAAAACAAGTTTTAGTCTGTTAGTTTCGCTTACACGCACTTATACTATATATATGCTCAACCGATCACCACATGTCATCAACACAAGTTGTCAGGGATATGAAATAAGACTAAGTGTTGTAAGTGCAGTGATATGTATGTAAATAGTACTTATGTTATTATTTCCAGATAGATCTTCAGTGGCTGTCTTTAAGCTGTAACAAATACAATCTGACTAGAAACAGCTGTGATGAAATTGTAAGTAGAACCGTTAAATTATGACAAGTGACATTATTTTCTTAATTTTATTTAAACTCAATTATTTTTTATTTTTAGGATCAACTTTCGGTGGTCACTACTACAGAGACAATCACGGTGAGCCAAATTCCATACTTAGGTATAATATAAATGTGAAAATTATTTTGTTTTTTTTTGGTTTTTGTCACGCTTAAACCACCAAACCGATGTTATAAATTCTTTCACCAATGGAAAGCTTTTTTTTAAATTGTGGATACCCCTTCGGTCCGTCACCCAACCGGTGTGGGGTGTTTACGGCGGGGTGGTGTGTCGGTATCCCACTCTGCGCCTGTACTATAATAGAGGGGGAGGGATCCGGGAACTGTTGTTATTAAGATATCCGGACCTCATTATCAGCGAGTAACATAGGCTACTTTTGTATCGTGATAACCGACATAAACTCATGATTGTATTTATCACCGATGTTTACTGGTGTTTTTAGAAATCAGATAGAGATCATTCAAGGAATTGACCCAATTACTATATATTTATTTCTAAATATTCTGACAAGTGTCAAAGTGCACTTGCGTGGCAGTGTGATGTTCTATGTTAGTAATTGCCAAAAAGTTCTGAATATGCAATCTAGATGGCGTTGTATGCCATATTTCTTTACGGTAGATTACTGTTGATATTTCCAGTTAATAAATAAAGTGATTATCTTTTATAGAATTTTTGTAGTTTTTTTTTACTGGGTAGAACCAACAAATACATATAATGAAACAATGATCAATTGGTTATTAATCATAATATACCAGTTCTCAAGTAACAAGCTCAATTTTTATTTTGTTTATACAGCAGCCACCTGAGTCGCTGATAGCAAAAGATACGCCAACGGTGAGTACGTAAACTAAATACTTATTGCTACCCACGCATGAATAATCCAATCTCAAGCTTCAGTGACATTATATTCCTAACTCAAATCTTGTGATTATTTTAATTGTGTATAAACAAAAACATTTTAGAAACACTTCTGTACTAGATAGTATCCTGCAAAATGTCTATAGCTAAATAATCTGTACTATAAAAAAAAAACTATGGAAACAAATTGATGTAACCTTGGAAGCATATTTGACTGTTTAATACAGTAATGTTATATTGCTGGTAACAGCAGCGTTTAATGTAATTCTCAATTAATGTTAAATCATTGTTAATTCAGACATTAGACGTAGGTTTAAAAGCAAAATGAGTTTTTGTACATGTTTTTTTTCATGTAGGCCGCCAAAATGAATGTTGCAAATATAAATTTATATCGTATGCGTTTATATCTAAACCGTTAATTAGATTTTTGTTTTCTTACTGTATTGAGAATATCACAGCGAAAGTTTGCATATCAAATATTTAATTTTATTGGTTTTCAAATAATTACCAGGCAAGTATTACAAAACACATAAAGAGGAAAATAGGAATAGTGTAACAATTAATGCCTAAAAGGTGATATAGAATATATTACCGTAGTATGCATATTATAATACTAGTGGAACAACGTTAAAGTTTATATGTACATATACTTATTATACATACAAATACGTGATAAAATAAAAAAAGGAGTGAGCACAGGTTCCCACATTGTCTCTTACTGGTACTTTTGCACTTCCGTTGTTGTTGATCTGGAAAGTTCTTGAGTAAGCAAGACTGTGTTTTATTCTGGAAGTCGAAGTTTTGGGCAATCAAGTCACTACAGCCATTGATGACTTTGTAAAACCGAGTATAATATGGCGAATTGCCACCCAGAACTGTACCTCTCTGCGGTGTGCGAAATGATAGTATGGCTTAGCGAGGGATTCTTGAGAGGACGCAGAAATCAAAGTTGAGAGAGAAGAGAAGAGAGCGGTAATAAGTCCAATCCACAAGAGTGTGGATAAAGACAGTGTCACCAACTTATAATAATAATAATAAATAATTAATAAAAAAAATTAAAAGTGTAAATAATATGTATATAAAGTAAATAAAGAGAACAATAATAATAACCTCACACATCTCACACGGCTGTCTGATCCCAAACTAGGCAGAGCCTGTGCTATGGTAACCAGACTGCTGATAAACATACGTATATATTTCTAAATATATACATATTATAGATAAATTACACCCAGACACAGAACAAACAATCGTGCTCATCACACAAATATTTGGTCTGGGTGGGAATCGAACAAACGACCTTCGGTTTATCAGTCAGGGTCACTAACCACTAGACCTACAGGCGCGTCAGATATGGACTAAAGACCTAATTCAGTTCTCACTGCGATTTCTAAGATTTTGGAGAAGGTCTTGAATAAAAGACTTATCAACTACCTTGAAACAAACGATCTATAGAGGCAAGTGTACTGAAGTTTCTGTAGTTGATCTTACTGAATCAGTGGTCAAGCAAATTGATCATGGATCTAAGGTGATTGGTATTTTTCAATTATTTTTCATTTTATTTTGTTCGGAATACCAACAGCACAAATAGCGTAAGGTAAACATTATAATAATGTAAGAACGAAACTATTCACAGGTATTCGCAAATAGATTCTAAGTGTGAAACAACAGTTCAAATAACTTACCAACTACAACAGAAAAAGTTCATTTAAAAAAATTACTTAATATCAATAAAACATTTTTGGAAAAAAGAAAAGAAAAACTTAGACAGAAAATGTCACGCTCCTGATATTGGGCATAAAAAAGTTTTTTTGAAGCATGTTTTTTTTACATGTGATGGTCTGGATCTGAAGAACTCAAACTCACTTCTCAATTTATGCAAATCATTTACAGATATACTGGTTCGAATAATAAATGAATTTTTGCGATGGTTGGTGTCTGTTCGAGGTACTGTTAAGGGTGGATTATGCCTAGTGCGTAAATTATGCGGTACTCTGATTTTAATTTTCTCGATAAGAATTGAGCAATCTAATATTTGAGGATAGCCAATTTTATAGGCCATCACCTTATTATAAATTTATTATTGTTGGTAATTAAAAAAAAAACTTTTATTTATTTATTTACTACCTAGTTAATTAATAAATGAAAAAATGAAATGTATTTTTGTCTTTTTTTCAGATCGAAAACACAACTCAAGTCCTTGTACCAGTTGTGGTGAGAGATTAATTTTGTGTTAATTACTTACACTTTTAATTTTAGACACTTCAAACTTTTGATAGAAGTTCAATTTTTATGAGGCTCGTAAAATGAAAAGAATCTGAATATTTTCAGGGTCCCCAAGGTCCAGGAGGGCCAAAAGGAGAGCAGGGGTTCAGAGGACTACCGGTAATCTATTTACCTTATCTAATTCTAGTTTACTTTTTGAACAAGCCCAGTTACACCTCAAAAAGTTATCTATTTGCAAAACATATTTTGAAGTGTTTCAAAGACAATATAAATAGTATTTTACTACAGATCTAAGGAGTTTTGTATAGTCAGTAGGATTTCAGCGGTTTTATTTCGAGTTATCCATATTTAACTTGAAAAGGATTTTACTAACATACTTAGATCTACTAAACTAAAATAAACTAAAATACTTAGACTTATATTACGTTAGAAGTTTTTGATTATATTAAGATTCGTATTGAGAGTTTTTGCATAAATAAATACAACTCTACCAATATAAATTTTCGAAAATTCAACTTGTTCATTTATTTTTTCTTGTCGAAGGGGATACGTGGTACGAAAGGTGATCCCGGGGAAAAAGGTGACAAGGGAGAGCGTGGACCTCCAGGTGCTGTTGTCAATGTAAGTAACTGCACGACGAAATCTGAGGTGTGGCGGTAGCCAAGTCCAGAGTCGCGAGTGTTGAGTTTTTTTTTTTTCATGACTATGTCATGAATTAAATAATTATATAAATAATTCGTTCCTTCGATATTTTTGTCATGGTGAGTGGCAGAACCCCAGCGGAGAACAAAGGATTGAAGACCACTTTAATTACGAGGCAATTGTAATGGAGTACTTTCCAGTTGACTGTTCGCTTGAATATGTAGAATGTAGTTATTTAAGTGACTGTAGATTTATCTGATATTGCTTTCTTACGTTAATGGGATTAAAATGTGGGTCTAAGTTATTCTAAAAATGACTGTGTTGTAAATTTGGCAGTATTTTCCTTTAAGGATACTAAAATCGGTTTACCCGGCAATAAAGGAGAGCGTGGACCAAAAGGTGACAAAGGAGATACTGGACTTGAAGGTAAACTTACCTTTTAATAATTTTTTTGGAAAGTTTAACGATGATAAATGGTCCTTATTACGTTTACAATGAGTCGAATTATGGTTATTTATATTTTATTTAGAATAATTTTAGAATTTATTAGAAATTCCAATCGTACTAAAAAAATAATCGTAGAATATTAAAGAAGAATATATTTTTATTTTAGGCAGTCCTGGACTGCCAGGCATAGTTGGGCTTGCTGGAACGCCAGGTTTTGATGGCAAAGATGTAAGTAATAAAATATTTTTTCAATCATTCCGTACCACAATTACTTTGAGAAATACATATCTATTATAAGATTCCAGAGGTGGTCATGAGTCCGACCCTCAATATACTTCTGACTAAATTATTTAATATATATACAATAATTATACTTACTACAATTTAACTTACTATGCAGCTCGTCAAATGCTGCTGAATGCTTGTGTTTTTGTAGGTTATCCTACAGGAATTATATCAGTGGGAATGTCAGTAGGATTAGTCTCATATTTTCTACATTTCTTTTTAAGCCAATTGACGAAGACTTACTTTATACCCCCTGTATGTAATTTTTTATTTGTTAGGTATGTATATGTGTGGAGTGGGTGTGATACAACGGACAGGACTGATACTGCGATCAAAGTAGGTAGAGCCCTAACGCTAACGTTGAGAGTGTGAATAAACAATCGTGAGACCTTTTATTGCACGATACAGGAGCAGAAGCTATCATAAAGTTCATCTTATCTTCGATAGATGGCGTCAAAATATGTTTTGTTGTATGTTGTATCATATGTATATGATTAAAACGTATACTGTAATACACAGGGCAGGCCGGGCCCACCAGGACCTGTGGGGCCTCCGGGTGAGATTGGACTCCCCGGTCGTCCTGGACTACCAGGTCCTCGGGCAAATATAAACGCGTCGCTAATTCAAGGTAAGTAATCGAGTTAATATGCGCAAAATTGTTGTATGTAAAAAAAATAGGCAGAGCCCAAACATACATATATATTTATAAATACATGTTATAGATAAAGTAAACCTAGACAAAAGACAAATGACCGTGCTCATCACACAATTATTTGTCCTGGCTGGGAATCGAACCCACGACGTAGCAGTCAGGGTCACTAACCACTACACCAACAGGCCAGTCTATGTATATTATGTATCTAAATAAGCCATGAGTATTATGGTCCATGGAAAGCGATGGTACTCACATGATGTGATTGGTGTATTGTTGGCACCTTTACTGTAAGAAAAATCTTTAGTACCTATATGATCGGAACTATGTATACTTAAAACGATTGGAATTAGTTATAAAAGTAATATAATAAAATAAAAAGTTCTATGGGTAGTCTTCACATTTATAAAAGATATAAATTATGGAATAAAAACTTTTAACTAAAACTAAAACAAACTAAACGTTAAACATAAACACATTTAAGTTTATTATTTTCGTAGACTATTGTGGTTGCTTATTACAATTATGTTCTTGATGTTTCTTGAAAAGAAGATTGAAACTTAACCTCTATATTACAATCATTAACTAACTTATTACTATTACAGCCAACACATAAATCGCCCTTTTTTTTTCCGTGCGGAAATCCCCTCGGATACCACCGACGAACCGACTAAAATCGCACGCCGTCTCGGGTACTAATAGCCGGGGAACCAGATATACCCTAGAAAGGAAGTCCCTGGTACAGACATACCTCGGGTCATCTACAGACGAGTAGACGACCCCCCCCCCGTGTGGGAACCCCATGTTCCCTGTGCTCCCTAGAGGCGAGCGCGCTTCGCAACGCGCTCGCTGCCACCCCGGCCTGCTTCTGCTAGGGTGACAGATGGCCTCACCTGTCACCCCCAGGCCTGCGATTATGGAGGACGGAGGTCATTCTGCGACCTCCGTCCTCACGTCTCCGTCACTCTGCCAGCGTGTGGAGAGCCGTGTCCACGGTCTGGCCATCGCAGTGGTGGCACTCAGGCGTTGGCTCCTTGCGGATCAGACACAGGTGATCCCCGAAACATCCTTTCCCAGTGAAAACCTGCGTCAGTCGGTATGAGAGGGTCCCGTGACGCCTCTCGAGCCAATCCTCCATAACGGGTCTTATCGCCCTAAGAAAAAGGTATTTTTATTGAAATATAATACTTATTTTTATAAATATTCAGTCACCTTGTTTTTTTTGGATCTAGATTGTTTATAATACAACTAAGAAGACGTTAACGGATGGAAGCCACTAAACACCATACGCTTTTTATACAGTTTAGATCAGGAGATAGCGCTGGCCATGGAATAACCTTAACATTCGAATATTGACGAAACCATTCACTAATAATACCAGCACCGTGTATCGCACAGTTATCTTGAATAAAATAAGTTCACTTCTTCCACGAGAGAAACATATCACACACCACAGTAGGTAGCTTTATGTCATTCAAAACTCGACGTAATGAAAGCCTAGTTGGTTTAGAACCATTTGTTTCACATTCACCAACCATTAAGCGTCGCTGAGACTGGAGTAGGCCAAAACATCCTTTGTGGACTGGTAAAGTACTGTTGATGATGATGATAATACTGCACTCATAAGCAACACAACAAAAGTGTATATGTGTGTGATGTACGTTAATAGAAGAAGGTTATAAGTCCAACTAGTTATAATGCTATAACTTTGTAAAATTGCTACTGGACTTATGACCGCGACCGTACGACGGCGGACTTAATGCATTCTCTTCCAGTCAACCTTTATGTAGTGCAGAAATCTTATAAAGTAGGTGCACAGAGCGTGACATGTATTATATTATCAATGAAAATACACACGGTTCACTACATACATACCTTGACCTCCTGATAAGGTTCCCCGTGCAGCCCATGACTAATCAGACTTTTAGAAGGTTACCCGACTAAAGACCAATAATATTTTTCAAATATATTAAGAAATTACTTTAGACTTTAGAATATATTTTAGAAATGTATGCAATATCCATTGTATATAAAAAAAAGAAAGTTAAAAATTGTGTATATGTACAGGTGCGAAAGGCGACAAGGGTTCTCCAGGTCGTCCTGGCAGGGATGGTCAACCTGGTCCTCGGGGGACTGATGGTCTTAATGGTGTTATGGTAATTTTACATTTAGTTTTTATACCAAATAAAGAAAATTTTCAGTGTTTCATTTAGTTACTTTTGTTTCGCTTAGTTATTATTCTTGTAAACTAAGCAAGTGCAATATATTATCTGACTACACGGTGGTTTAAGCAGTCGCCACGCCGCTCACTACTACGCTGAGTGCTGTGGGTCCGATCCCAACATGGGACGACACTTTGTGTGATCCACATATAGTTATTCTGAGTCTGGGTGTTCTTTGTGTCCGTTTTATGTATGTTTGTAAGGTCCCCCGCGACACAGGATATATTCCTAATGCGGGAGTTGTCTTTAAAAAAAAAGGCAAGAAATTATAGTTATTCGTTTATTTTTACAAGTTATGTGCCAGACTCGACTCTAACTTATGACAGAAATTCCAAAGTATTATATTACGCTTAATTATGACAAATAATCTATTTTTTACAATAAATGCAGGCTCTTGAAATAACTGTGAATGACTTTTTAATTTAATTTTCTTTTTTTTCACGGATTTATTAGTGAAAATTACCTTGAAATTATCATTTATACGTATGCAAAAATAAAAGTATTATAGTTAATGAGAAAGTAAAAAGGAACTAACTATTTACCTCATGATTTTATCATCAGACCATATTGTTAGGAAGCCCAATGTGTGTGCACGCGTCAAAACGAAGTAAATGAGCACATGAATAGATAAACGGAACGAGATAAAGCTTCATATAACCGCGCGAATCAGTTGCACTACTGCAAGCAGCGGGGCATGTGTGCGTGACCACTGGCCGCTTGTCGCGTACGTGGCGAGACTGGAAAAAACCAGTTTACCCTGGCACAGCCAGTGGACAATCTCAGAGTCAGTGCGAAACACGTTCTTTGCTTTGTTAGTTGCAAGTTTGAATATTTTAATGTAAAAACGTGAATTTATTATTAATGGTTGTTTATTGTCCTGTATGTATGAATAATACTAGAAAAAATAATACTTTAATTATCACAAGGAGTACAATGGGTAAGTAAATTTTTGATTATTAATTTTTTTAAGTAAGTACAAGGATTACCAGGACTTTAATGATGGTTACGTACAATTGGGTTTTATACCTCCTGATAATTTTATGGCATGAATTGCTCGAGCAAAAGTTTAGCGAATCTTTCGATCTTGAAATAAATATTGTCAATGTTGGTAACGAAATACCTTAACTCATAAAGATTGTAAATTTGATATGCCATGTGAGTGTTGCCCGTTAGATTACTTAAAGAAACTTTATGTTAGATTCAGAATTCACCACACTATTAAAAGAAACAATAAATTATTAAAAAACAAAAATCATAAAAAGAAAATTATTAGAGTAAGTTTGTAAAGTAATCCATTATTATAATATGTGAATAAGAAAACGATTTAAAAAATGTTTTGTTTAATTTGTCTTCACCTAGTGTGACAACCCTACCAAAATAAGTAACAATTTTTCACGTTCTTAAGAAGCTTTGTCTCTGTTCCGTTTACCTACTCATGTGATATAAGCCCAAACTTCTGACGTATACCAGTAAGGATTAAAAAGTTCCATTATCCAACTCCTGGCAACACTATCAGATTTGCTCCAAGAAAGAAAAATAGTATTGTTACCCAAGCTATACGAGTATATACATTATAAGTTTCCTTTCGATAAGAAATTTAGAAATTGGTTAAAATTAACTTTCAAGATTTGTAACTCAATATTTTCTTGAAATTATTGAGTTACATATCTTGAAAGTTAAGTTAAATAAAACTATTTAACTTTGTGAAAGTTTGTTACAATTAAAGCTAATAAAAGCGCTTTCTTGTAAATCCTACAGGTATATTATAGACGTGGTAATTCAGGATAATGCTTATGTCCCAGGTACTGAATTCAACTAACCTGATTTTAGGGACCACCTGGTGTCCCGGGGTCAACAGGAACGCCAGGGTTACCAGGAGACCGGGGCCTACCTGGTGCACCTGGACCTACAGGAGAGCGAGGATTTGAAGGACCACAGGTAGATGATTTTCAACTATATTTTGATCTTTGTCTCCTCGTCGGGTCTGGATGGAGGACGAGCTATATATTTAGTTGTATGGGTAGTTGAAGTTCTAAGGGTGTGGGTGTTCGCGACTGTTCGATTCAAAACTCAAGATGCACTTCGAACTTCAATTTAATACGAAATAAGGTTAAAATTTTGGTGATGTAATATTACTAGATTGGCGCGAGCACAACAGTTAGCGACACGATCTTTAGGGGAACTAAAGTCAGTTGACAACTATTTCATACTTGTTTGTACATATTGATTTTTCTTCATAATTTATAATGATAATAAATATTGGTCAGACCACCTATAATTGAAAAGAACAGAAGTTAGTGTGAATCCAAAGCTTATTATATTATAGTGAGTTCAACAGCTAATCTATATGTTAGTAAATTATAAAATATATTAAGAATTTATCCGGTTGTGGCAACAAAGTAATTTGCCTAACTTTTATCGCAAATCAGTTAATTTTAATTCTTCTTATGTTATACATAAAGGCGAATTTCTTTTATATATTTCTTATTCTCTCAAAGCTTTCATTCTCTATATCTCCAGTTTTAAGTACGGTCCTTGTTTCCTGTTGGTCTGAGAACACTCGCTGGATCTAAAACTTTCATTTGCGCCATTGCTCACTTAAATTTGTTTTTTTTTTGCTATTTTTATTAGTCTCATATTTGGTGTGTTTTAGGGTCCAGTAGGTCCATCTGGCCAGCCAGGACCACCGGGCCTTCCAGGAACTTCTGCTGCACATGTCCCTTATCCATCGGATCCACAACCAGGACCACCAGGTCCAATGGGACCAGCGGGACAGGTAACAAGAGAAACAAATGCTACATATAGCGTCATAATGGCTACGGATGGCGATATATGGTATAATCAAAAGAAAATAGATAACATATTTTTTTTTTTTTATTTATTTTATTTATTAGGGACAAAAAACAGTTATACAATGCAGTCTTTACAATTGATTTGGCATTTACATATTTAAAACGTATAACCCACACTATTCTCCACGAGTTTACAGATAAAGTAGAAAAGGTAACGGACGCGCACCCCCTCTGGCCAGCGCGGTATAGTAGGCCAGTACTTCCTTTCTAAGGAGAGGCCTATGTCGATCAGCGGACTACAAATTACCGTCAAAAGAAACTGACATTGGACAGGGTATTATTAATTTAAGACAGAATATGTTTACAGAAAGGTGAACCCGGTATTCCAGGATATCCTGGCAAGGATGGGTTTAACGGTGTTCCAGGAGCACCAGGAGCACAAGGGCCACCTGGTCTTCCTGCACCACATAGTGTCTTACAGGTATATACCGTTACAATAACAAGTAACTCAATTTCGAAAAATTCGCATATGCGTGACAAATAAAAACTTGTAGCGGATTTATTAAAGTACAATAAACAAATTACTGAACTTGTATGTAATATAATGTATATAACTAACCTTAATCATGCATAATTAATGCAAGTGTCCATTAGTGACATATAATTATTTGAAATTTTGTCAAAAGCGCTAAAAAAATGTTATTATGTTATTATTACTGTTAATTTTGAAATTGTTATGTAAATGTAATGTAAATGTAATGTAAATGTAGGATGTATTATTTATATTAAGTGCCCAATATACTTGGAGCTTGTACAAAAATCCTGTAACGTAAATATGGGATTTTTAACTTAACTATAATTAATTGCAAATTCTTCTGTCTAGGCATGTTGTAATTATTAGCATTAGCTAACGCTAATATTTTTGCTAATATTGCAATTTCGTACGAGGAAAGTAAATAAAAACGATCTTAACTTGTAAGTTTATCAATTACTACTAATTTTACATAAATAACTTATTTTTATTATAATTTAACTCACCGCGATTTTCGCGATCAAAAGTGGCCACCTACCTACTATTTTATTTTCTCTATCATTATTACAGAAATAATGCTAATAATAATATAAGGTTTTGTTCGTGATACGCTAACCTTCGTCAATTCGTTAATTAACACTAGGTATCTATTAACAAAAAATATCCCTATCTATTCACAAAATACCTATTTACAACTTACAAAAATAATAAAACTTCTTATTAACAAATACTATATAGGTACCAATTCTAGGAACAACTTTAACCAATTTAACAATACACTACGAGAAAACAGAGGCATTCAAAACAATACCTAATCTCCCGGCCACTCTAATTCTTATTAATAAATCGGGAATGAAAAATTCTATGAATAAAATTAAAAATATATTTATGCAATCATCATTATGGGGTGCCATCCTCAAAATGAAGTTTGGAGGTCTACAGACGGTACACCTCTCGATCATGAGTGCGGCCTCCTTTAGTTGGCGATATCGCAGTCCGGTCCAGGCCACGATGTCATCGATCCACTTCCTTCGTGGTCGACCTGGTGTCCTCCTACCTGGTATTTATGCAATAAAGAATCCTAAATACGTGCATTTCTTTTAAAATAGGCAATAAAATCCTTTGCACTCTGAGAAATAGCATCAATCGCGCCGCGCTCGGTCACCGTTCCGAGCGAAATAGGTACTTAAACAATTACAATAGCAATACAATACAACTAGCACTTGTATTAATATTTTAGCACTGCGATTTATTAAATTAAATTTAGTCTTCGCGTTGATGCGAATGTGAAAGCATAGGGCTGCGTGAATGTGAAACGTTAACGAACGAAGCGACGAAATTTCGTGTACGTATCAATTTATACGTTCATGAAATTTCACGACTACAATTAATTTGCTAACTTCTAATTAAGAATTCACAATTAAATATGAGTGTGAAGACCAATTAATCCATCACTACGTAATACACGCATAAATTCCAAAAATAAAAACATGAAGCTTCTTTACAGCTCACAATATTTGGAAAGAAGCGGGCCGGTAATTTTGGTGATTCTAACATACGTATTTTTTATTCTTTAAGGTACCGACGATGTCTGAAAACGAAGTAAGGAATATATGTGAAGATATTATCAAAGGTACATATACACATTTTTTATGCGATCTTCCGAAAAAGAGGTCTAATGTTGACAGTACGTTACGTGTGTGAGTTTTTTATTCCGACATTGGCTATACACCCAAATGAGCCAGGCTATAAATAATAAAAAAGGTTTATTCCCAGTAGTTCCATTGAGTCAGTTCCACATGGAAATTTTGTAACCCTCTAGTTCTATTCATGCAACTAGTGGGAACAGCTATTTGAAAGGGAAAATTAAACCCAATAGTTCTATGACGTCAGCTACATGTTATACTTTAAGACATAGCTATTTTTCGTGATTTATGTCATTTTAGTGGTTTAGGATCTGCGTTGATGAATCAGTCAGTCAGGGCAAGTAATTTTATATGTATATCCTCATCATCAGATCATGAAACCTTTTCCTTGTTTTCTTATGCAAAAAAGAAAATATCTACGCGAAGGCGTCACTTGTCTTATGTTGTCATTGTTGCTTACTGCATTTGAAAGATTTCAAATATGGTATAATTAACTGTATTGAGTACGATATTATAAAATTGCTGGAACCCGTATCGCATCGTCATCACTTTTAGAAGAATATTTTAATCTAAGATTCATATACATAGCAGCAAGAATACCGACACTTTCTACAAACTTCAATTACTGGCTAATATTACATCTATCCATACTACATCACATCACTTCTCTAACAATTTTTTATATGAATAAAATAGATAGTCATTAACTTTTTTCTGACGTACAGGAGTTTGCCCGAGCTTTTCTTTGTTTTACAAAAAAAAAACTCAATGTCAGCAGTAAAAGTAGTATAAAATTACATGGAAGAAATGGGACAACAATCGTATTTTTAATGTTACATCAGTACCATGTGGAACTGTCTTCATGGAACTACTGGGAATAAACCTTAAAATATATATTTTACAGCTATATTCCATATTCCTTGAAATGTATCTGTATTTCGATTTTTATAGGGACTGTATTTTTAAAGCTGTTCTACACATTTTCATCTGCATTTTTCTCTTTGTCCGCGTTAGGTTTCATACACAAGTTATGAGAGAATGATTTTTCTGTAAAAAAAAACGTATAATTTTTCAAATGTTTTATTAACATAATTCTTCTATTTAGGACAGAGACAATAAAAGATCATAAAAATCGGTTTCGGCCATTCTTGAGCGATGATTAGCGTAACCAGACTTTGTTTTAAATATTGACATTAATAACTTTTTACAAGTATAGTAATAATATAAAAGCCGTATTCAAATAAAGCTTAATATTTTTCTTTTTTCAAGCTTCACTCATTAGCTTTTCACTATGAGATCCATTTAATAATGCCTAGTTTTTCTGATGAACAGATCGACTGCATACGCTAGTAGCAAATCTTGTGTTGCCAACGCAGAATTCTGTTGGTAAACGTGGACATCCAGGTCGACCAGGGCCTCCAGGGCCACCAGGTAAAGTTAAGGCTGATTTCAATATTTTTGTTTTGCTATCTTGTGGCCGTAAATCAAAGATGGGCTTTCATCCATTTGATCGAAAACGATTATTTTTCACGAAATCCTTATTGATGATGGGGCCATTAAAGCATTCGGAACACAATAAACATGTGGAGGAACAGGTGTCATGTCTCTGCGTCACAAAGGGAGGATCTCCGACGAGGCGAGGTGATCATGCCTGGCAGGCCGCGGCCCAAACGGTGGATGTTTGGAAGTTGTTTATATGCCGATCGACATGAGAACTTTCATATCGCAATGCAATATTAGCAGTTACTCCGTTACTCGGTGTATCTTCGTTAGATGGGTCTGATGCATGTTTTTGTTTCACTGTATGTGGAGGTCACACAAACATATCCTGCAGCGGACTGCTGATTAACTAGGGTATCTCCAGATAGATGAGCATAAGGCTATAAGATACTTCTCGTGCCTTACACTTGTTTTAAATCTTAAAACTACCAATCGTGATTCTTAGGATTTTAATAAGTTCAAAAACATATTTTTCTCGCACTTAACCAGGTAGTCAAGGCGATCCAGGGGACCAAGGCCCACGAGGCTATTCAGGTGAGACGGGTCAACCAGGGCAGACTGGCAGTCAAGGTATCGCTGGTCCGAAAGGAGACAAGGGTGACAGAGGCTCTGAAGGCATCGGTGTTCCTGGACCAGAGGGGCCTAGAGGAACTATTGGTAAGTAAATGTTCCTGAAAACACATCACTTGAGAAAGGCTGGACAGATTTTTATAAATTTGAAATTATAGAAACTTACAGATTATTATATTATAGATTACTAATATCAGATTAAAAATCTTTCTAAAATATCAGTATCCTTAAGATTTATAAACATTTTTTTTTATGGTACACAAGGTAAACGAGCAGGTGGGTCACCTAATGGTAAGTAACTAGCGCTGCTCCCCCCACAATTAGGGTGGGGGGTTGGCTCTCAAAGGGAAATCCTTTATACTGGTTTTCTGTGACGCCGTGGTATCAATTTCTTGAAATAACTTTTTTTACAGGTCCTATTGGACCTCCTGGCCACCCAGGTAGAACAGGAGACAGAGGAGACCCAGGTAGAGAAGGTAAGATTTATGTTAAACCACATACAAATTCATATGGCGTAAAACCTATGACCGTGTTCAGGAGCCGGGTATTTTGTTTGCTCTAATTCTGTTTGGTTCATATCTCAATTGTTTTAACATGTGTAATAGTGAGTTTATTTATTTATTTGTTCTGCTTTCATGAGCTCATTATAAAATACTATCCGGTAATCATGAATACTGTCACTCAGAAAAAGTACTGTTCCTCAGCAATATAAAAATAATTTTTACGCGAGCGAAGCCAATAGAAAAAGGAAACTTACAAGGTTCAGTTTATAGTATGCTTATACATACAGTACAATATAAATACTTTCGTTAGTGGCAATCAAAACGTTGCGCGTCGGTTCCGAAACTGGTCGGCTATACCCGATAGGTAAACCCGTTTATAATTTATAAATAACAATACAAGATAGTTTCAGTGTCTGTCAAGTTGCAAATCTAACATGTACTAAGTCATACACAAGCTATCGCATTTATTATATATACATATATTTAGATACCCTAAGAGAATATTAGGTCCAATTGCATTAAAATAAAATAAAATAACGCTTTTTTCATGAAAGGCAAGTACAGGGTTCCTTAACACCAGTTTACCGTGCCGAAGCTCTTATACAGTTAAATTTTTATGGCAAGTGCCTAAGTACAGAAAAACCATCTCACGAATTTTATTAGTAGATTCCCGGTTTGTAGAAATTTTGTTACTTAAGAGGCAGGAATAGGGAGTATAATGATGGACAAATGATTTTTCAGGACCGATAGGGCCCCGCGGTTTCCCTGGCCCTCGAGGCACGTGTGATTGCCCTGTTGCTTCGTACTACGCGTACACGCCGCAAGGAAACAACAAGGGACCCTGAGCAGAATCAGAGTGTGTACTTAATAAACTTAATAAAAAGGGTGGCAGATGATAACAAATGTTGTTTTTTAATGAATTTAATTTCTCTTCTCTTCTTCTCCGAAGCTCTGTGCGTATAGTCACTTGTTTGTCGGCAATTTGAGACATTTTAGTGCTGAATTCATGGTTTTGAAAAATCAATGGAGGAGAAAGCGCCATCTGGTGTCTGTTTACTATTACATCTATAATTAATATCCTATAATTTGTAAAATAACGAAATAATCGTTTAAAGTATGACGCTCATCTAACGCTTTTACGCACTTTAATGCTCATTAGATAGGTACCTATTGATTTTTATTTTTTATTCCTTATATTAATATAATATTATTTTACTAAAGAAAAAATCTCGTATCATAATAAATAAAATATAATTTATTAAAATATACCGAATTATTAACGATAGTAACTACTAAAAATGATCACCGTACATTATTTGATAAAATCGATATAAGATGGACAAGATATCCATTGATTTAAAAAAACATCTAACGTTATAGATAATTTCCAATATGGCGTCAATTGTTGGCGGGTTCTATTTCTCGTACAGAATCTATCTCTGCTTTGCAGAAGAAACATTGCTTGCTATTTAGTAAATGTTGCATTATACAAGCTCTGAAATAAAATAAAAAATATTTTTTATAGCTTTCAAAGTAGAATTTTCTTGTTAGAATCATATAGTAATCATACTCGTATATATAATTATTATCCTCACATTTGCAATAATACGAGAAAATAGTAAAAGAGCGCCTTCTTTAAAGACTTTAAAGTCCTTGGAGTTCTTTAACTGTCCTTGTCTGTACATTAACTGAATTATTTGTGTTAGGACGTGTTGTATTATTTGACTGCGCGAGAATCGAACCCACGACTTGCGGTTTAGCAGTGAGGGCAACTAACCACTAGCTCAACAGGGTCGTCGAAAATATAACATTACGATGCACTTGGAATACATGATTTTGATTGTTACTAGAGAGCAATTTTGGTAAATATAACTATACAAGGTAAACTTGACACATCACCTGCAAGAATGATGTCCACACGGTACAAAAGCAGTGTCAGCAGGTCTAGCATAGCATATAGTACACAGTAGGTCAGATTGTGTCCCGCTGGATCCAGGAGACTTCGAAGTCACTAAAGCATCGCGCGCCATCCGCAACCTGTCAGCTACAACTTCTAAGGCCTTTAACTCTTCTATTGTTACATCTTCAGGGTCTGGAAATACAAACCACAGATTTCAGATACTATAAGTCTGTTATGTAGTGAAGGTTGCTTATTAAAACAAGAGGAAAAATGAAACATGTTATTTTTATTTTATTTTATTTTTATATTTTAGGAAAACTTACAGCTAGAGTCACAATTGATATAAGACTAATAGGTGAAGGCCAATTAAAAGTTTTCACTGCTAGAACAATAAAGACAACTCTACTTATATACTATATCATTTTTCTTTTAGTAGCCTCGAGAATTTGCATTGCAGATAACTAAGGCCATCTTTGAGCAAGCTCCTGAATTATTACGAATTAGGAAGATTTGGTTGCATTTCGTAACAAAATTGCTGTTAATAATAAAAACTAGAATACTAATAAAAACGCTTAACGACGACAAATGTAACTAACATTTATAGAATGAAAAATTGCTTCTATCTTTCGTCTTGCCCAACATCATGTCAAGCCCATCCATTTTGAACAAAGGTTCAGTTACCAATGCTTTGGTAGCTTTATCCAAATGCTGAAATAAATATTTGTAAATCGTTAGTTGTAATCCATAAAACTTTTCGAACGCTGCAGCAGTTTGTTAGGACGTCATGACGTAAATCACTGTGGTACTCGTACTACTCTTTTCAACCACGTTATCTAATTACATACCATTCAAAACTACTATTGAAATCCAAATTCTTTAAAGAATATCGCAGTTTATCATGACTACCAAATTAGTACTACTGGTTTTCTTGCTGAGGATTATTTCCCATAAATAGTTTTCAGTAAGAAAGCTCGTGCCAATGTTCTGGTTCCTGAGGTGAAAGTTTGGCATGACGGACTGTAGTTTTCATTGTATATATTTATATATTGTCTTTATATCTATTATAATGTAAGATATTTGAGTGCAAAGTTTTGTTTTACACCAATATAGATTCTGACGATAACGAACGCATAGCTTAAGAACTGAAAATAGAGCTGCAGGGGTCGCGGGAATATTTATGGGTCACCATTTTTTTATGTGTAAGAAAAAGACCAATTTAAAAGCGATAAACGATTAAAATCGAATAAAAACTAACGTCAGGTGGAAGTTTTGGATTTAACATCCTGATCATACAGCCGGCTACCGGTGCCAGTGCTACATAATAGTGAACTCGATCAGTGTCTGGGAGACCTCGAGCGACAAGCCGAGAAAAGCTGGCGCCGCCCCCTCCTCGGATGCACACTCGTGATACCACAGCCATTAGGATCTGTAATATAATATTGAATGATGCAATTATATTATTGAAGGTTTACCAAAATCTACTGGTAAATAAAATTTCATAGAGACCAAGTAAAGTAAACAACTCACTTATTCCAACCTACCACTTTATAAACTTTTAGACGAACTTAAAACCGAGACCTGCTTTTGAGGTACACTTTTTTCTCATAGTAGTTTGCAATATTTAGTGTTAGATCTCTTTCAAAAGAGTGTTGTCAGAAGTTATGATTTTTTTTCATGTTGCGTTATCATTCCGTGTGGTTCCCCTATTCATCCCGTGGGTGTCGTAAGAGCCGACTAAGGGAGCAAACCATGCAGGCCAACAGCACTGCAAAATGAAGGAAAATTTGAAACAGATCTTATACCGACCCGTTTGACTAGCGTGGTAAAGTAGGCCAAAACCTCCTTTCTAAGGAGAGGCCTATATCCAGCAGTGGACTATTAAAGGCTGTTGATGCAGTATGATGATAATGATGCAGTATCATTTGCTTATGGTAACAAAATTTCAAAATAGAAACAGTTCTAACCTGGCAAGTTCTTCCTAGCAGCAGTTCATTCTGATTGTCGGAAGCTTCAGGTTTGGTGAGCAACAAAGGTGCTAGATGTAGTGTCATCTCAAGGGCTCTACCCAGTCCATGATACAAGTCGAAGCAGGTTGCACATAACTTGATCTGACGTGGTTCCAGGTGGGAGTCTATGTTAACTCTGTCCATCTGATGAAATCAAGAAAATCTGGTACAAATTCTACCTTTTTTGCTTCCTAAACAGGTTTATACTCTATACTAACGAAATTAGTAGAAAGAGTTTGGTGTTCTACCATTATAGTCAAGCTGCAAAGATATAATATATCATGAAAGGGATGAAAGGACGAGAGAAGAGAGAGTTAGAGTTTTCCAAAGTTGTAGTATTGTGCATAACACACCTCTCCCGAAGGAGCATTCGTTATCGACGTTGGGCTTGTCAGGTGGACTGCTGAGTGTGCAAGTTTTAACTGCAAAAGTGATAAAGATAATATCGCTCTTGTCATCTATTAAATCTGTATTACAGTACATATAGAAATAAAACTCATAATTTATACTCTATTGTGGTTTATTTTTGTTTATTAAAGACCCGCACTAGGAAGAAATCCTGTGTCGTGGGGGACTTTACAAATATAGATGAAACGGACACAAAGAACACCCAGACTCAAAACGACAATTCGTGGATCACACAAAGTGTTGTCCCATGGGTATCCAACCCGAAACACTCAATACATTAGGAAGCAGCGTGTCGAACGCTTAAACCACTGCGCCATCCGTGCAGTCGATTAATACAATCATGAAAAGTACGTCTCTTGCCCAACAATCATTTTGGCTTACAATCTTTGTGAATTTCAGTTAGGTATTGATTTTAGGATAGTGAAACTACATATATGAATATACCTCTTGCATCATGGTGATAAATTCTGAGAAGGCCCAGTTCAATTGACTGAGCAGAGAGTTAAGAAAGGCTGCCGCTTGTACGGGATGTGCTATAAGGTAATCCCTTATTCTATTTTGGATTACTTCTGACGGGCATGGACCTACGACAAGAAAAAACTGACATTACACAGGAGAACTGTTTGGAAGCATTTGCAAATACGTCATCGGCTTTTAAATCTTCTGTGTTTATACCGAGGATTTCACTTCTTTCATTTATTTATTTGACCAATTTTGACTGAATAAACGAGTAATGTTTTAAGGCTTATGTTAAAATTGCTATAAATGAATTTCTTGAATATCTTCATTCGTAAGTAGGAGACAGTTATGGATCTTCATTTCAACCAGGATTTAAAAATTGTTAATATTTAGACTCGATGGGAGAAGCAGGCAATTTCCGACGGAAGATGTATCAAGATCGTACCATATTAGCAAACGGCGCGGTTTAAATGTTATTGATTATTTTTATACTGAAGTTTAGTCAAATTAGTAATAAATATTCTTGGGTACATCATATTCCCTTGCCACAGATATGAAACGTTAATCAAAAGTGACTTACCAAAACACTGGCTCATCAGTCCGGCATCTACTTTGGCTCCTAAGTTATTCACAGTGGGTTCTCTGTCGCCGTACCTGTGTAGAACATTTATCATGTCAAGTCATATCTATGTCGGCCATCTAATTTCAATAACAAACCGGCATACAATATAGAGAGTAAATTGACACAAACTTAATGAGGTTAAATTTCGATAGAGTTGAGAACATTAAATTCTGAGTTCCCAATTTTAGAACTAAGTTTCGGATACATGTCTTGGCAGACCAGGCCCACTATGCACTGCAGGTATAAGGATTCAAATATTATTGGAATATGGTATACAAAGGGGTTTACAACAAGTTGGTGTTCACATATATTCTGCTTTGCCATAGGGCGAAAATACGAAAATACAATTTAGTCAAATGGGTATTCAGCGCTAGACTATAGAGTTAGTCATAATTTAGAGATTCATCTGAAACTATATTTGTTAACGAAAATTGAGAATTAAAATAGAGTAAGAGAAGAATTAAAATAGAGTAAGTAGGTGATTGATTAACAGGTCAGATTTTTTTTTTATTCTCTTAAAGAAGACAACCAACCGCAACTCAGATGAGATAAAAGATACACCATAAAAAGAGAAGTACTAATAAAATAACAATACCTCACACACACACATAATATGTATATAAAGTAAATAAAGAGAACAATAATAATAACCTCACACATCTCACACACGGCTGTCTGATCCCAAATTAGTCAGAGCCTGTACTATGGTAACCATACTGCTGATAAACATAATAACATTACATACTATAAGTAACTTCTTGATTAATATAAGTGAAGGTAAATAGGACTGTGCAAGCAAGCAATATTTTGTTTGTAACTATTTATTAAAATTATTTTGCGAAGTGAGTCTTTTGTACTTGTAGATCATAAACATTAATATTTATACCAAGGAATGGTAAAAAGTAAGTAACCTATTTTATTCTTTATTATTATGTCTTTGAAAATAGCCGGTAACATTATATTCGCATATATTTCATACCCACATTTTCATCTTTACTTTTATTGCTTTCAATATTGATTAAACGGAAAATATCCGCCAAATTGTCTCGTAACGGTGCTTCCATTTAGCAATAAATGGCGATAAATCTGCACGACATAGGGGCTATATTTTATGAGAGAATCTTTGATAAGAAGGACTGGACATATTTACTTACAGTTTTTAGTAAACCCTGTTCTATGTACATAACTATAGTTTAATTTTAATTCTGAAAATTGGGCACTATGAAAATAACAATTTGTGAGAAAGTGAAAAAAATAGGAAACAATAATTTTTCAAAAAGTAAAACCAAAGACAATCTAATCTAAACTGTTCTGCTCTGAGTGAGTGTGAGTTCAGTCACATACACACACATAGAAAAATTCTATATAAAAACGATATTCATTATATTTTAAGTAGAAAAAGAAAATAGTTCCAGAAAAGGTTATAACTGGGAATACGAACATTTACAATATATCCGTTTTAATTTTTAGCCAGTGTGTACAGGTATACATTTTATTGTATATTTAAAAGACAGATGTCTTTTTAACAAAATTACCCGGTGTTATTTTAAAAATAATTAGAATGGTTCTCAGAAATCACCAACTAATTTTAAAAGTTTCTGAATGTGTAAAACCAACCCTTATAAAACATCTCCACTTTTAATTTATCTCAACATTGCCTTTAGGTTTAAGGCGCTACTCTTTTTTTTACTATCATGATTCTCTTAAAAACAAAAGTTTCAAGTGTTCTTTGGTTTTTGTTCAAATACTCGTACTTTTAGGTCTCGGCGAAACAACTTCAAGTGTTTCAACTTGTCCTGTTAAATGTAGATTCACTGTGTATTTTATATAAGTTACTGTTTTCTATCGGCTTGAGTGCTCGGAAGCACAATCTTAAAAAAATTGTTTGACTTATAAAATCATAACCTTCGAAAGCGGTCGAAAATAAAATAACAGTAGAAATTAGAGAATAGAGCAAAAAAGGGGAATTTAAATGGAATATCTAGAAATAAAAACCGTTTTACCAAAAATCATTGTAATATCCGTCTTTATATATTTACTCTAAATTTACAGAAACTGAAATAACTGGATGCTTGGACATTATTAAAAATTAAATTGATTGAAATTTTTTAAGTTTTCAGAAATAATAAAAGCCAAAAGAATCAAGAAGGTACTCTTATTACCTGGCGGCTAGATGAGGCCACTGTCTGTGTCGGAAACCAAACCCTGTTCCGTGCCAGAATCGCACCAATACCCAGTTGGACTGCGCCCACGCGCGATTTTGGTATGGGCGCACGAGCTCCTCTACCATACACATCTGTCTATTGAATGAAAAAAAAAGTGAAGTTACACAGATTAAAAAACATTTAGGTCATTCTTCAGCTTTCTCCATACGGCAGACGGGTTATCTGATGTAAAGTGACTACAAGCACCAATGGACACCTGAAACTTAAGAGCCACAAGTGCGCTGCGACCCATTGAAACCCCCTCCCAGGATCAAGAGGGGGTTTGGGCTCTGTTTATTTCACTCTCTCGGTGAAACGCAACGAAGGAATTATCAACACTGGTTTTCTGTAAGGCCGCAGTATCACTCCGGTCGAGCCCACCCATCGGCGTCGAAGCGGTAAAAAATGCAGAACTACTATTCTGAAATTTGTATTTACTGCATTGATACTAACTGCTTCAAAGGCACTCGTTCGATGGCTCTCATAGTAGCCGGCTGTGTAGCGAAAGAAGCTAGTGTCTGTACCAGAGACTCCCGAGTGCTGGCCAGTACAATACGTTGATCTGCAAACTCCGCACACAGGAAGGCAGCACATGATACTACCAGTTCTTCCCACTCTATAACATTTAACGAACAAGATTGTTGAATAAAATATGTTAGTAGTATAATAAAGTGGAACACGTTATATGACATTATATGATTTGATATCGTCGAAAGCGCGAAGTATATATTTTGTGGAATTCAATCCTTTTGTTACCTTTGAATTCCACAAAATATTGCTACTTTACATTGCTACTAATATTCTATGTTTTGGTAGCAATGTAGAAGTTACATTGCTACTAATACATAGGATATTTTTATTTTTAAATACTTGTATAGTCTAAACTTCTTATCAGGTAAATTATGCAGATATGTGTTAATTGCTTTAAAATGTTTGGATCTTCTTACCTTAGCCAAATAGTTAATGAACGTGCATCTTGGATACGTCTTTTCATCTATTGGCAGAAGCTCAATATTGTATCGTGATAAATACAGGGATATTTACCTGGTATTTGCTGCACTGGAATTGTGGGATGCATGTAGAGTCTTAGCGTGTTGCACAACTCCAACATGGCGTCCACGTGGTACTCAGGCACGAACGCGAAGAGGGACTCTGCAAATTCTTGAGCACCTGTCTCTGATGTCAACGTTACATAAAAATAGTTGTCTTTCTAAGATTTTGACCTAAGATGTTCCTGGCGATATATGTAGCAGTTCTCGATATCCAGTCATTTATCATGTAAAGTACTGAACAAATAGGAGTTGATTCGTTTTTAAACATCGTCTCCTTCTACACGTTCCCTTTGTTGCAACGAATTATAGGAACTCATATCTTTTACGTGCAGCGTGCGTGCAGTAATTATAATAATATGGCATCAAAATTAAACTTCAAAAAATAAATTTCTATTTTATACAAAGTCAACTATAGTCAAGAGACTTTTCAGTTAATGCTTATTTGGTAACGACCGGTAGAAATACTTAATTGGCATGTTTTTTTCTGCTTTTGGAACGAATATCCTTATAGCGCGTAACACACTTTTTTTCCGACACTACGTACGTAACGTCTACCAAAAATCGAAAGGAACTTCGTTCCGACCGGGGGTCCATAGGCCCCTCACGCCGTTTTCTTTGTGTTGCTTATAATTTATGCTTTAGTTTTTTGTATTTTTAAATCGTGGACAGATTTAAAAATAAGCTTAAGAAATATGTATGTACATGTACATGTAAATTCTAATACTCTAGGGGTAATTGCATTGTATCTTCCAACTTTATATCTTATTATAAATGGACTGTAAGTTCGAATGAGAAACTTCAATCCGAAATTAGTTCTTATTGTTCAGATGAACTGAAAATATTGGTGTGCCTAATTAATTTAGTAGATGATATTTTATATGTGGATGCTTGTTATTAGCACTTTAAGTGTTACTCAACTGTCTGTATTAAATTTAGTCAGTAACCTTCCCTAACAATAAATAAATTAATAAAATAAATTTTGATAATCAGTTTTCTTTAGTTTACTTTTATCTAGTTTATTGTTGTGTACGAGACGATTCGGCAAGCAAAAGCTAATAGAACAGCTTAAAATATTAAACAGAATAGAATAATTAACATAATTAAATTGATGGCTGACAAGTTAACTACAAGTTAAAACTATAATCTATAAATATAAACCTACTAACTTACGATTTGACGGACCAATCTGTAAATTCGAGCCGGTTCGTGGTGTGGTTGCTCTCGAAGTAGGGCTTTGGGGGCTGTACAACAAATAATTTGATCGTTCGAGTTCGCAATTTATATGTAGATGATTCGCATTACAACGAACCAAGCTAAAATTGAAGTCGAAAACTACATTGGAATAAGTTAAGAAGATAAATAGCATTTGTAATTGCCTTTGAACCTTTAAACACACTCAAATGTTTTTAATAATGATATTTTTATAACAAATGTTCAGAGGTAACATTTGGTAACAAATGATTTAGTTTTTCAATTATCAAATAGTGTTGAGAAGGTTAGATCATGGAAAAAAATATCATAGATATATCTTTTGGTATAGAGAAGCCTTTTTACAATATTATTTTTAGCTCAATCCTCATCTTAAGCTGAAGGCCTTTCGTTTTGTTCTGTTGAATTAATTAATGTCTTCTTTTTCTTTATTCATATATTTCTCGTAGCCTTACATTCTTTACACTTCTGCACAAGACTAACGTTCGGGGGTAAAAAATCTTAGCGAAGCTATGATGAAAGTTGATCTGTTATATCTGATTGTTGCTAGTAATAACTTTTTCTTTTTTCTTTTTCTTTTTAAAAGACAACGCCCGCATTAGGAATAAATCCTGTGTCGCGGGGGACTTTACAAACATACATGAAACGGACACAAAGAACACCCAGACTCAGAACAACAATTTGTGGATCACACAAAGTGTCGTCCCATGTGGGGTTTGAACCCACAACACTCGGCGTAGTAGGAAGCGGCGTGGCGACCGCTTAAACCACTACGCCATCCGTGCAGTCCTGGTTGATAACTTTATAAATGTTTTGTATTTCCCTCTTGGCCTGGCTTGTTCTGATGCGAAACTTCGGGTATTGAGCCCTGACAAAAATTCTTAGCTCAGAGTCACTTATATGAGGAAAAACTATTTTTCTAAGTATCTACAAATATTAATGTTACAATTTTTATGTGTAAAAGGCATCTATCTAGCTAATTGATTATTTTTTTGTAGTTTTGTTAGTTTTCATATAATACAAATAAAAATGTCATACATATCAAAACGGATATCAATGTAGGTGAAAAAAGCAAACAAATATATTTAGTTAAGAAACTAAAAACAATCTACTAGCAATCTCAAACTAATAATTATTTTCTTGTTCGTTGTTCTATTAAAGTCAATTTAGTTTGGTTAGTAACTTGGCTAAGAATTCAGAACTATCATCATCATCAACAGCCGTTAATTGTCCACTTCTGGACATAAGCCTCTCCTTAGAAATGAGATTTTGGAATTATATTAATCGTATATTAAATGTGATATTACTGAATCTCAATTATGTCAATATGAAAAATATTGACAAGCATCACAACGTGAGAAATGTCAATCACAAACCTTTGATCAGAACTCGAGGTATACTCTAGCTGAAGAGACGCATAGCTGGTTCCTCCTAATAAGGAACTCTTTCCAGGCAAGATTTCTTTACTGGCCACCTAAGAATGAAATTATTTAATAATGTTATCAAATTTAGTATGGTATGCTACTTGGGAACATTTAATTTTTAATGTAATAAGTAGTGACGTCATAACTATTTATATATTAAAAAAATATAAAGAGTATCTGATTTGACTTAATAGTGAGCTACAGTATATAAACATTAAAGTAAAACTATAAAAAAAACGCTTTACGATTTTCATAGCATGAGGAATAAATGATTGGCAATCAATTGAGTGTCCGTCTGAATTAATTACACGTTATGCAGAAACATCGTCATAAGATTAAGGTAATCGCCGAGATGGCGTATAGTATATATAATAACAAATATGTTGTAGAACCTACCTATAATAAAGGCCTATATCCGTAGAGGAGCCGTGCCCTAAACACACCTTTCTTTTATATATTTTGTATAAAATGGAAATAAAAATAAAAAGACTTTATTATTATTATTATATTATTTATGTTTTAGAACTACCAAAAAACCACAAGATGGAAAAACTGACGTGTAGAAGATGGATAGATGGATAGGTAAGGGATTCTTTATGGCAAAACATACAAAGAAAACAAGAAAAAACAATAGTAAGCCAATGGGTTACTGTTAATGTTCCAATGGTTGGTTTAAAAACCCCTGAAGTCCTGTAAGCAAACAAACTTACATGTAGATAGTTCTGTCATGTGGAGAAACTTTAGTTTGCCTTTTAAAAATATATTTAAGTACTACTTAGTAACTTTACGTAAGTACCATCTGTTTAAATTTAAGCCAATCTAATGACTTTCAATTTAAAAAATGTGTGTTTCAATTTAAAAAATGAATTTAAGGAAAATACCTGAACATGTGCAGAATAATCAGGGTCCGAAGATAACCTCAGAGAGTGCAGTGTACCAGCAAAATGCCTGGCTAGCTCCGTCTGCCGTTGCTTTGTCCAAATCGCACCTATCACCCACGCCATTTGTAAGGATCCCGCTTCTAGTTTTTCCTAAAAAAGTGTTTCATTAAATAATAGTATCCATTACCTGCAACGGCTACAAATCAAGACCACTGGCGCCTTTTGAGTCTCCCCCCCCAGAATCAGGGGAGGGGAGGTTTGAAGAAATCAGTGAAAAATGATAATGAAAATATTTCGGACATCTGACACACAACGCCATCTAGTTTCAAACTAAGCAGAGCTTAGCTGTACTATGAAAGCTAGATTGACTGATAGAATACTTATATACTTTTTTTTGAATGTTTGAGTAGAGTCCAAAAGTTAGGATTTTAGAAATTGAGATTAGTTTTAATCATAAACAAAGAATCTACGAAACATGTAGCAGAAAGAAGAAAGTACCTCATATACACTCTTAGACCGTTCGAGTTCCTTTAGCATTTTTTTCATGAGTTCCATTTTTACTTTGTCTTCATCACTTGATTCGTCATTTTCTGTGTTAAAAAATTACACCGATTTAAATTATAATTTCAGCCATCTAGTTTCAAACTAAGCAGAGCTTGTATTATGAAAGTTGCATTGACACACATACTGCATGAAACTTTTTTCACATGATACCTATGAGGTTCTTCTTTTAAAAAATTTGCAACATTCTATTTTCGACTGTCAATTGTTTTTTTTTTTATTCAGCTTAGACGTGAAAGATGGATATTTCGAAAATCCAAGTTCCGACGCGGAACTAACGCGGCAGCAACGGCTCGCAATATCAACGCTGCGTTTGGAGAGGAGACTGTTAATGAACGCACCGTGCGGTTTTGGTTTAAACACTTTCGTCATGGAAACTTCGACATGAAGAACGAACCACGTGGAAGACCGCCCTCACATGTAAATAAAGCTGAATTGGAAATGGAGGAAGCCTATACAAGTCGAACTACCCAGGAATTAGCGGCATGGTTTAACGTTAACCTACCTACAATATTGACTCATTTGCATCAAATCAACAAGATAAAAATAAGATATGAATAATGGGTGCCTCATGATTTGACTGATCTGCAGAAAGAAATGCGTGTTGAAACTTGTGTTGCCTTGTTGAATCGGTACAGAGATGAAAGAATATTGGGTCGAATTGTGACAGGTGACAAAAAGTAGATTGTTTACGATAAACGTTTTTCACTGAAATTTTCTTTCTACGTGATAAAAAAAATCTTCCCAGGAGGCAGTACAAAATGTTTTCACAAAGTTGAGAATCTAGATCCCCAGAATTCTATCGAAAAGGCATAAATGAACTTCCGTTTTGATGGCAGCAATGTATAGAGAATGAGGGTAAATATATTTCGATTAAATAAATATGCAACATCTTAATAGGCAATTTCATACTTTATTTCCTAACATTTGCAGATCATACAAACATTCGAGCCGATCCAGGAATCGAACCCGAGACCTGAGCACAGCAGTCGCATACGCTACTACTAAACCACCGAGGCAGTCCTAATTATTTGCTTAAATTGAACACCGGTTTATTTTTGTATCTAAATCCTTTAGAGAAGTATAACAAGAAGGGGTTTGAGAATGGCAATAGATACCCTGTCGATATAATCGTGTTTCATGAACTTATATCGCAATTAATAAAACTGAGGAGAACACCATATCGTCGATGCGACTACTAAAACGCGTAAGAGCAGTTCACAATACTGCGTAATAAGGCAATTTTAAAAGGAATCGCAAAAAAGTTGTGTCGTTAAAATCTCTCCTATTCGCCAAGCCATTATTTCTTCCTTCTTTGCAAATTGATCTAACAATCTCACCAGCGATATACCATTTTGGGTGACAGATCCTTCGACCAGGCGAGGTAATGATGGCTGGTGTGCCGCCGGCTAGCGGTTGATTTTAGTGAATTACATTTACACTAATCGGGGTTAGAACTTTCATTTCGCTAGTCTATTTCCGAACAAATAATCAGGTTTAGAAGTACCTTAATTTCAGAGGTCATAACTCAAATTATTTAATGTATGATAGCAATAAACCCAAATATCTCCATACAAACCTTTTGCTCGCAACTCATTGGAGACGGTATAAATGCGGTATTCAATGTCGTGTAAACAATCCGCCATGTCCAGCTGGTTGTCTCTTAGTTCACACAACTGCAAGAACACAAAACAGAACTTAATCTAAATGTAATGTTACAGTCAGAACTCCTTACTGGTCAGAAGTATTTTTAACTGGTATTTGGCAATAGTACTTTGACTGCTGCGTCAGATACCGTCTACTGTTATTGAATCATTCGGGTTAGGTAAGGTTAGAACAGTGACCATGAACGCGCGAGGCCAAGCGCGCAGCTCTCTGTTGTTGGTGAATTATATGTTCGTTAGATAAGGTCAAAACCTCCTTTCTAAGAGAAGCCTGGGTCTAGCAGTGGACTATTCATTGCTGTTGATGATAATGATGATAACAGTATGATATTGATGTTGATGATTAGCCAATAGATGTTTGAACTTGATATCTCATTGTGGTGAACGTAACCGATTAACTTTTGCACCCAACAAAACCTTTCAGTTACTTTCAAAAGTCAAATCACCGCCAAGTATTAAATTTTGACAATGTCACCGTAAAAAATAAAACCTCAGTGTGTTACTTAGGATTAGTTTTAAAAAGAAACTTATCATATATAGAACATTTTAAAATAGTCAATGAACAGTCTAAAAAGAGTTTCTGTGCATTGAAAAGGATATCAACTGCGACATAGGGTCTCATCATATCCTAAGTCTATCATATCCTAAGTCTGCTCATCATATCCTAAGTCTGCTTAACATATCCTAAATCTGCTCATCATATCCTCTGGCAAAGTAGTCTTTGGTAAAATGAACGTAATATAATGAATAGCTTGCAGGTGACATCTGGGGCGGTAAACTACGGGGATCTTGTGTCAACTAGGGTGAATTTCCGTGCGTTTAGGCGATTCTGCCATACATATTATAGAAATCAAATATGGCTCACTTAGGACCCATAATATTTTGTGGCCGCGGTGTGGTGCTTCCCTGTTTAAAAGGGTGTATGCCTAATTTACTTCATTTTGTCTCCCGTTTTGCTAAGGAGGCAAGTGGATTTACTGTATTTCCAACTCCTCCAATTTTCTTCTGATTAATTTGATTGCGAGTTCCAAGACAGTTTATTTTTTCCTGTGACTGCCCGAGTGTCATAACTCAGTGTTTCGTGGGTCACTGCTGTTCATCCTGATGTACAAGAGTTACAGTGGTGGGCGTGTGGGAGGGATTAGTCCTAATTAATAACAGTATTTATTTATTTATTTATTTAAAACTTTATGCACAAATCGACCAGTCGACCTTAGGGCGATGCAGAGCCAAACGTGGTAGATGCACAGAAATTAAAAATGTGATTTATTAAAACTATAGCATATATAGAATATCATATAACCAGAGTACTTATATAAATAACATTGGAATACTTTTAAAGATAAATACAATAAGTAATACACATACAATACTAATACACATAATACATAAATTTACATACATATACATTTATATACTTATATACACATAATATAAATTCTAAATGGAGAGGGTATAAAATTAAGATGGATTTGACAGTGTGTTTAAAAAATGTTGCCGCAACAGGTACTTAAATGTTTGCCGAGTTTTTGCCATCCTGATCTCGAGAGGGAGCGCGTTCCATAAGAGGACAGATTGTACCAAAAAAGTGGAATGTACGAAGTCAGACCGGTGAGTCGGACAGTGAAGAAGTAGGTTGTCTGAAGATCTAAGATTTTTAGCGTGGTTTGCACCTAAATATTGAATTTGAGAAGTGAGGTAGGAAGGAGAATTTGGGGAAAAGAGTAAAGAATATAGGGTAGTTAATGCTCGTGTCTGTCTGCATTGGCGAATTGGAAGCCATTTCAAATGAGAGCGATGCTGAGACACGTGATCGTATTTGCGTAAATTAAAAACGAATCGAATGCAATTGTTGAGAAGATGGTCAAGCTTATTGAGCAGATCTGCATTCAGGTCAAAGTAGCACATATCACCATAGTCGATTATAGGGAATATAAGAGACTGAACAAGCATTACCTTAGTTTTCGATGGAAGAAAGTTTCTAAGTCTATAGAGGGCCCGCAGCGAACCTGTCACTTTCTTGCACACAGATGCAACTTGTTGTCGCCAGCTCAGAGTTGTGTCAATATACACTCCGAGGTCTTTCACACTCTCACAGTAGGCAATAATCATGCCATCGTAGGTAAGTGGTGGAAGTGAGGCAAGGTCGAGCTGGCTCATAGCTCGGTTACTCCCGATGACAATAGCCTGACATTTATTTGGATTGACCGATACGCCAAACATATCAGACCAGTGTTTAATGGCTGTCAGGTCACTATTTATAGCCGAAATCGCGGACGATACATTGCACAACTCTGTCTTCTAGTATAGCTGCAAGTCATCAGCGTAGAGATGAAAGGAACACTGAAGTCTTGAGATGATAAGATTAATGAAGATAGAAAACAGAAGAGGTGAAAGAATACCGCCTTGAGGGACGCCAGCAGTAAGATCACACCAGCTAGAGGAAGAATCTTCGACACTGACTGACTGCTGACGATCCCGAAGGTAAGAGGAAAACCAGCCCAGTGCATCTTGAGAGACCGAGAACTGGGATAGGACAGCAAGGAGAAGTTCATGACTGACGGTATTGAAGGCATTCGAAAAATCAACCAGTACTAAGGTAGTAACCTTAGTATTCTCCATCCCCACCTTAATATCGCCAGTCACTTTAAGAAGAGCAGATGCCGTGCTATGGCCTGGTCGAAACCCTGACTGAAGGGGACTGAGTAAGTTGTTATTGTAAATGAAGTGGGAGAACTGTTTGTGGACGCAGGCCTCTAGCACCTTGGAGAGGAAGGGAAGGATAGAAATTGGACGAAAGTGTGTGGGAAGAGACGGATTGGGAGTTTTAGGTAACGGGCGCACATACGCTCTCCGCCACAGAGAAGGAAATGTGCCAGACATGAGAGAAAAGTTAACAATATGGGAGATAGCGGGAAGGAGGTGGACCAGCAATGTGGTGATCATTTTCCGACTAATGCCATCACAACCAACTGCTTGGGATCTGATAGATTGAATAATCTTCTTAATCTCTCCTTCTGCAACCGGACTGAAGTGAAAAGGGTTTAAGTTAGGGCGCGGTAGACTATTTATGTAAGTACGGGTGTTATGTTCAACGTGAGAGAGGTGGTAAAATGTTGGTTTAGGGAATCAAGATTTATGGATTGTGGAAAGTCCACATGTCGCGATCTGCCGATACCAAGAGTCCCAAGGAACTTCCAGATGTCGGCAGGAGATGAAGAGGAAATATTATCTAGAATGTGGCGAAGTTTAGCGTTCCGTATCACTTGGGTACACCGATTCCTTGCAGACTTGTACAATTGCCAGTATGATGTTGCGGTCAAAAGTACTTTTGAACGTTAAGAGTTCTAACTGTAACATGTATTATATGTCCAAAGTCTGGGTGTGTTTAAATAGGTTTCAATATTTGTAATAGTAGAAATCATTGTTAATTCGCGAGTTATTTTAACAAAAAATGTTTGTACTTGGATAAGGATTTTCTTTTAATCAAAAAAGACGCCCAAACTCCATGTAAGAATAATTCACCTTCTCTGCATGCTTGATAGCAGCTCCATGATACAAAGCTAGCAGACCATCCATCAGTCTCAAGTAAGCTGTTCTGACGTCGATTGCACCAGCTCCTGGCATCATGGATCTGGTGCCCTTCAACGCTAAAGCAGTTTCGCCTGTACTCCTGCCGGAATAACATGTTTAGCCAAAATATTTACAGTTAAATTAATTGGTAATTTGTGGATGTAACTAACATAGTGTACCTAAGCACGTATATATACGTGGATTCTTTAAGACGTATGAAAAATACTCATTAAAAAGAAGTTGGAACAGGCAAAAATAGAGAACTAATGCGATTAATAGGTATTAAATACCTTTGAAATGCCTAATGTTTCAAGCAGGTTCTAATGGGGGTCTAGTGCAAGTACCGTCGAGAGCGAGTTGATGTGAAATAAACTAGTAGTAGACCAACAGTACAAACTTCTTAAAACGTTAGACATTTCAAAATCTCCTCTCTAAAGAGATGCCTGATTAAAGTAGTGGGTTGTTAAATACCGTTGATTATGATGAATTTATAAATACATCATAGAACGTATCGTTCGATAAGTGTTTCTATATATAAAAGAATATTTGTTAAATAACTTGTGAACATCCCAAATATTTAAATGAACAATTTATGGACCAATCAGAAGCAGACGTGGCAAGTTCCTATCTCTAAGAAAATTCTGATATAAAAACAGCAGTTCATTTCTTGGTTTCCAAAAAGGCATAGGTTAAAAAGTGTTTGTTTAAATTTTATTTAAAATAAAAAAATCTTCAACAAACACTAACAGAAAACACCCATAGACTAAGTCATTTTTGTGGGATGTTACCTTGTGGTTTGAGAAATATTTTTAAAAAGCATTTTTTTTAATATTATAATATTACCATATAAAATACCTGTTCGGCATAGGAGGCATTGTTGGGTGCATGAACCTGGCCATCGAAGATATCACCTGCGGCAGTGTCGCCAGGTTTGGGGAACCTGCCGCCATATCGCTTACACCTAAAAATCGAAGAAAAGTACCTGTTCACGCATTGTCAAATACTGCCTAGTGCTAATTTAGTAATATTTGTTAGTTAGTTGTTGTAGATATATTTATGTTATTCATAAACAGTTCAAAGTACTTACCGGTGTCGATGCCACCAGCGCGGTTGTAATTCGGCTCAAAACTTTGTATAAACGGGTTGTCCTCTCCCAACACGCTGATCAGGTCTTGTCTGTGGATAGTGTCACTTAATATTATTGATTTTTCTTAAAAACTAGTCCCCAGGGACCACCCCAGGGTTTATTTTCATTGCACTTAATCTTTTGCGTCGTCAATTAATAAAAAACCGATGATGTGGTCTCGTCTTGTCGAACAAGAATTAGCAGGGACGGTGAAAAAACATTGTTTCTTGTAAGGGTTCATTTTCAATTTTAATTTAAGTAATTTTTATATTTAGTGTTATTAGCGACAATAGAAATAAAAGTGTGACTCTGTGAAAGTTTCACCTGCCTACTCTTTATGGCACATAAGATGTAGGTAAGCTACTCACAGAAATACAGATAGAAGGCTTATCTTGGCACCCTTTGAAAATGGACTACGTTTCGTAACTTGACTAGTATCATTTAGTCTTGAACTTACTTCAGACTACTTTGAGGTTGTTATTACCTTAGAGTTCGCACGAGAAAGGGTAAAACACCTCCGAGACGGTCAACGTTGTAGAAGTCTAATTCCCCGTCAATAAAAGTCCTGGCTGGCAAATGAGGAGGTAAGTGTCTGAAATATAAATTTTTCACTTGACACATTTATTTTACGCAAAGTGATGATACAAACATACCAATATTTTGTATGTGTTAAGTCAAACAAATCGTCTCAATAACGCTTTTTCGAGTTTAGTAAACTTTAAATAAGTTATAGTTTTTACACACATATATTAGTAATCGTACTACAACGTTAATCAATAGGAATTTTACGCAACAGATTTGCATTTAGCTCACAGCACTTTGCCGATCCATCCCGCCCGCTGTCTGTCTGAATTTTTAGAGCAAAGTACTTTAAATTTAAAATTTATTAAGTCTACTTACTTAAATAATCATTTTTTTCTATGATGATAAAGGAAGCCAAATGAGGATTAAAAATAACATCTCATATTAAGTGAAAACCTTATTGTTATTAAACACACTTACAAAATGTAATAACCAAGGGAAAAGATAGTGTAAGAGTGCAAAAACCTTACGGGGTCCCAATAGGATTCTCGCCCCACAGCTTAAGAACGGCAGTTAGCAACCGCGAATGGCAACACCAGGAGATAGCAGGAGAGTTCCGGGAGATGTTGAAGAGCCTCTGAAATAATCCCTCCTGACACTTTTTATGACAATATTTTCTATTCCATAATGGTCGTAGCTATAATTTGTTTGGGTATACTACATTTAATAATATATTACATTTGCACCTATTATTATATTTCATTATTCTTCAGGGACTGACTTCGATCGGATCTATATAAGTACTGTACGGAGACCTTCTTCTTTTGTGAATAAATCTACTTTTATCTTTTTTTTTATCAAAAGTCAACTCAACAAACTTAGGAATGTATCCTGTGTCTCGGGGGACTTTACAAATATACATGGAACAAAGAACACCCAGACTCAGAAAAACAATTTATCAGCGTGGATACAAAGTGTCGACCCATGTGGGGATCGAACCCAAAACACTATGCGCAATAGGAAGACGCATGGGGACTACTTAAACCACTACGCCATCCTTGTAGTAATAGCTATAACTTTTAAGATTTCATATTCCGTCATCATCATCATCAACAGCCTTTTTAAATCCACTGCTGGACATAGGCCTCTCCTTTAGGCCGACTATATCACGTTGGCCAGACGGGTTAGCATAGGGTTTTGTGTCAAGTTTTCCTTCTCTTTGCAGTGCTGTTCTCCTGCATAATTTGCTTCCTTAGTTGGCTCTTACGATACCCACGGAATGACTAGGCGTAGTACTCTGTATTCTTAATTCGTCACCACACGGACCAATCGTGTTCCATACCATATAATACTGCATACGTATGGGTATTAAGGAGTTTGCGTAGTAGGTATATATGCCTTTAAATTGCCTGTCGAAACAATGTTTTTGTTTATATTTCCATAATTTGGAATTAACATTTATATATGTCTTGTACGAAATTAATATTAAACTGCTTTCATATACTAAAATTATTAGATTTGTCTTCATCATACTTATATTGCATCCATATTTACTATTAAGGTATGGTTAGGGTACTGCATTAATGTATTAACTGTATATTATAACAGTAATGCTCTAATTTCATAACTCCAAAACACATTTTAAATTTAGAGATAAAAGGACTCGGGAAGAATCATATTTTCAAAGTCATATTGTAAAAAACATAAAGAAAATAAATACCATGTCAAGAATGCAATTGTCCATGATGTAACGTCGGAACTTGTCGAGAAAGATTTTTCTGGTTGAAGGCACCATGTTAGTGCCGTCAGTGTTGTCCAACAGCATGAGGAGGAATTCCAGCTTGAAGAAAATATTAGAAAAAATGATTAAATTTTGATTTCATGCGGTTATGTATGATTACTAAAATATGATATCTATACAAATTCATAATTTATTTCGACAACAATGTATTTGCCCGTTCTTAAACGAAAAAGTACCAATGTATTTTAAGACCTAATTGTCTAAGAAATATTTCCTCAAATATCTTATTACATTGAATAAGACATTAGAGAATTCCTTTCCTATAAAACTAAACAAATTTATGAAAACGAAGGAATCAAAATGGTCTTCTTTTTGCTGCTGAAACTGAATACGTTACAAACTCAATAAGTTGATATTAGTGTCCCAGAAGATTGAAAAAAGATTCATTCTGACATTCTGTTCGCGACTCAAGACGGGAACATTAACATCAGATAAATTGCTGGAAACTACGAATATCTTGAACATCTAAACAAAACTTTTACTAGGCAAATAAGAACATTGCTTTGAATGCTGAGAATTTCTTGGAACTTTTAAGGGTTTCGTATCATGTTACACTTATTATTTTATAATTGGAAATGAGTAATATTGCTAATAACAAGGAGACATTTTTCAGCTTATAGCTGTCGAAGATCGCAACTAAATAAGTAAAGATTTCATAGAGATTGATTTTGTAATGGTTTGATTGCATGTTTGATTTCATTACTTTTAATAGAGTACATTTTTGAGCATTTAATTGTATTGTTAAAGAATTTACATTTGTGTTGATTATAATGAAAGTACGACATTTGTATTTTATTTTACATCACTAAATTATTTCAGAACGGAAGGCCCGCCAAAATTTATTTTCTAAGCAACAGTCTCTTTTGCAGGCGAAAGCAATTACCAGTACAGTTGGCAGTTATTCTGAATAATAACCGTGGCCGGGATTGTGATGCCAATTTTGCAAACAGTTTGCCTTGACCTAGAGGTACAACCGTGAACTTGTGTATAAATGTTTGTGAAAGAGTTGAAGAATAAAGTAAAGATTTATATGCTTGCAAAAAGTAAACATTATCAATATTTGAAAGATTTTTGGCTGAAACATCCTTTATAAAATCTAACACGCTCGGGTATTTCGAAATGGCGATTTTTCGAATTTGCAATTTGCATTTTCGATAATTCGCTACGAGCTTGTGTCACTTTAAAGTCGTCAGACCATTCAATGGTAGCATTTTTGGCGTCCAAATAACATATCCCTAAAATATAATCGTTTTTTTTCGATTTCCTAACCTTACATTTTTGAAAACCTGTATAAGCTTTCCCCACCTCTGAAAGTGGATACATTTTAAAACTTTTATTCATTCTAATACCTAATCTTTCAAACGCAATAGGTCCCCATGACGCTCGAGTTAATCCCCATTTAGCATCATGGGCTCTCCTACCATAACGTAAATTTTTAAGAAGGAATTTCCTGTCTCTATCTCCATAAGCATGTAATATTCAATCTTCAAATTGAATTACATAAAACGTGATATACTTCTAGTCGGTTTTAAAATTGAAAAAAGAAAACATCTATAATTTGTAAATAGTTTTACTAGATCAATTTCCTAAATATGTTGATTATATTTTTCAACTAACAAAGGACAGAGCTTTTGTAGGTATTAAAAAACAACAAATTCTGTTTTAAGATGACAAAGGTCACCTAGAGGAAATAGTTTGTAATAACAACAGCAAAGATCTCTTGGAACGAGTCCAGATGCTGACTCAATTAAAACGAAGTCCAAACACTGCATAGTCTGTGACAAATGGCCTCTGGAATTGTCTGAATAGTTTTTGCAAACACTTCTAGCTTTGAATGTGAGTTTTCATGTAATTCTGAGAGAAAATTAAGGTCTACTCTAGTATAAGCGTGTAATGTTAAGCTAAAATCTATTTCGCGAATAAGATTCAGAAGAGGTTAAATAATAATGTTTATTTTTATATTGTTTTTAAAATGCCTATTTGTTGTTACAAAATAAGGGTCTTTTAATTTTTCTTTACGGAAATCCCCTTGGATATCATCCACCCACTACGGCTACGTGGATCTACGGCTTCTAGATAACCCTCTCGTATGTTAGCTAAAAATAATTAATGAAAAAACCTAACTTTAGTAAATATACTAAAAATTTACATATAACTTGTAAAAAATGTAACTCTCTACTAAAATTCTTCATTTTGATATCCCACTACATAATTTTCTAACATTTTTTTTGTTTTTAAAATACTACTAACTTTGATTTGTGTGTAATATCTATAAAACACGGAGGAGGGCATAATAAAGGCAAAGTGACACAAAAGTTATTAAAATCGGTCCAGCCATTTAGTAGTGATATAGGGTCATATCAATATAATGAAAAATGTGTTATTGGTCCTTTGAGCCATATTTTTTTGCTAAGAACCTGAACCTATAATATTACCTGTAGTATATTTGTATGTTATGTAGTGTAGGGCGCCTTGCAGAACGATAGACCGACGGCTTCAGTAAAATGACTGGCATCGGATGGATGCGGACTGCCCAAGATCGGGATGGATGGCGCTCCTTGGATCTGCCTGAGGCCTGCGTTCAGCAGTGGACGATAATAGGCTAAGATTTTACCTGAACTTGTTCCAGGGGTGCAACTGCTTTCGATATTCTTTCGCAGTCTTCTCTATACTGGGCTTCTATCATCGTGTCATTTGGATATGGAGGTAGCAGTTTAGATATTTTGTCTGTGGAAATTATTAACACGCTTTTATTAACACGATTTACATGTAATATGAGTGTTACGTTACACAGGTTTATAGATGTACAAATCTTTGAAAATATGTAATGAAATCTTTCAATGCTGTTTTCACTAACTTGACATCTGATTGATTTAAAATTAATTGTTAATCACACAGGTCTAAGGCCAACGACAGAATAGAATAAAATTTATTGTACGTCAATTTGTTGTTTTAAAAATAATACTGTAAATGACACCCAAGTGGTGTGGTTCAGTGTCGTTTACAATACATGGTATTTTTTATGTTTGTTACGGAGAACTCACTCAGTTATTACATCGGTAATACCTTTAAAGTTATTTATATAACGTTAGTTTACATTAAATTAACACATTTATATGCACATTCCACTTCATTCCACATTCATTTGATTTTTAATTGATTTTTTGCTTGCCTCCGAATAAAAGCATTAAAAGCAATTTTAATGTGTAACATTTATGCAATAATAATAATAATTATTATTAATTCATGGACAGTTTTTAGAACACTATACATCAAAAGCACAGAATAATAGTTTTATTCTGTGCTTTTAATCTACTTTTGGTCCTAACCACCGGTATTTTGGTCCGTGTACCTGATATCGATGGGACACTATATTTATATTTTAAATGTCTTTTAGTTTTTTAGTATAAAAATAAATTTATTTAAAATATTAATTTATCTGTATATTTAATGAAATAAAGAGAATAAAAATAATATGTTGGATATATGACACACAACGCCATCTAGTTTCAAACAAAGCAAAGCTTGTATAATGAAAACTAGATTGACTGATAGAATACTTATGTACTTTTTTTTGTGAAAACATATATACACAGAAAACACCGAAACTCCAAAACAAATATTTGTTTAAAAATGATATTGCTAGTATACAAAAAAATATTATTTAAGCTCAGTAGTAGTAGGGTAGTAGGTAAAGGTTCGAGAGTTCTCCTGCCAAACAGCTTCTAAATAGTCAACTAATGACGGGCCTGTTGGTTTAGTGGTTAGTGCCCCTCACTGCTAAGCCGGAGGTTATGGGTCTAGTTTCCGAAACAAATATTTGCTGATCATTCAAATATTTAGTTCGCGACTGAAATCGAACCCGAAACCTCACCACAGCAGCACCACTGCACTACCAAGGCAGTCAATCTGAAGTATATTTACAAATAGATTTTCTTTTAAGGTTAGGTTGCCTGTAAGAGATTGCCTCTGAGCGATAAGGCCGCCATTTGTACCTGTCTAACCTAGCTTAAGTTAATCTTTATATATTTATACCTGGTGTACAATAAAGAGATTTTATTATTATTATTATTATTTTACTCACGATTGGTAATGTCTTCAGTACCATTGTTTAAGAAATAAAAAGATGAATTATATAAAACAAATAGAATTACGTATGAAGATGTACCTGTTCCCGAAGGCGCGAAGGCTGAATTCCTTATTGTTCCCTTTTCCGTCATTTCTATTAATAAAAAAGATTTTATTTAAAATATTATTGAAATAATAAATAAATACAGAGTAAGAAGAAAAAAGTATACCTGCTATTCTAGGGTCAGTCTCCCCTTGAACAGACGTTGGTCTCTGCCACCAAGGTTTCCGGATTACTGTTCGTAGGACACTGTCATCTGGACATTTCACGTTTAAGAAATTGTCGAACCTGTTCGGGTAATAATAGGGTTTACATATAAAACAATGGAATAAATGTAATGAAAGGTACATTCATTGATAACCATACAATTAGCCTATCAGCGCAAGTTCTGCAATGAATTATACAACATACATTTCTAGATATTCTAGCAGGAGGGTTCTATGGTCCTCGGTGTCTTCTTCCTCGGCTGGAAAGAAGCGAGACTGGTGCTTTTGAAAAAGGAAGTAAGGACCGCAGACTCTCCTTCTGCGTTACGACCGATATGCCTGCTGAACGACTGGGAAACTCTTTGATAGTGTTATCTTAGACCGTATCAGCGGGCACCTGTCGCGAGTTGGGCCCAAATCTTTCGGACTACCAGTTTGGATAAGAGCGGCCCTTGAATATCACGAGGTACCGCTCTTTTTGGCGATCGGAACGGGATAAAAAATAGAGGGCTCTGTTTTGGCCCCTTTGTTGTGGAACCTTGCATACGATGCGGTCCTTCGCACCAGTCTGCCCACTGGCCTAAGTGTCGTTTGCTATGCTGACGACCCTCTAGCCAGTAGCTAGAGGGTTACACTTTGAGGAGGTGCTTCAGCTTCAGCTTCAGCCCGAGCAGGGGGTGGCCTATGTCGTGGGAAAACTGATATGCGATATGGTTCCATGGCCTACGTAAGCGCCAGGAACCACCTAGCCCACGCCTCCCGGTGGGTGACGCTGAGGTAAAAGTGGGCCGGTACATGAAGTACTTGAACCTCATCCTGGACAGTCGGTGGAGCTTTGAAGAGCATTTCGAGCGACGGGTTCCCCGGGGGAGCGGGGCAGTAGTGGGTGCGCTGTATCGCCTGCTGGACAATTTCGGGGGACCTCGGGAAGAAGTTCGCCGCCTCTAAATGGGCGTCGTGCGATCCATGGCCCTCAATGGTGCGCCCGTCTGGTCTAATGAAATGGCGGGTGCCTCCCGCTGCAAGGCTCTACTCAGAAGCCTGCAGCGGTTGATGGCCATACGGATCGTACGGGGCTATGGTACGATCTTGTTTGAGGCAGCGACAGTCCTGGCGCGACATGGATGCGATGGTCTATGACCAAGTTCGCTCTTTCGATCAGAATGTTGAAAAGGCCGCGCTGGATCATGAGCCCGGAATGCTACGTCTGAACTCGTTTGATGACCTTAATACATAAGTGGGGCTAAAATTTGTTGGTTAAACATTCATTATTCAGAAGTCTTATAACTTACTACGAGTAGTATAATAAAGTAATATGGCTAAATAATAAAAATTATTATAACTTCACACATCTCACACTCGGGCGTCTGATTCCAAATGAGCAGAGCCTGTACTATAGTAGTTGATAAACATACTTATAGATTTCTAAATACACACGTTATACATATAATAGAAAAATTACACCCAGACACAGAACAAATCATCATGCTCATCACACAATTATTTGACCTGGGTGGGAATCGAACCCACAAGCCCCACAACCCACAAGCCCCACAACCCACAAGCTTAGCAGTCAGGATCACTAACCACTAGATCAACAGGCCCGTCAACAGGCCCCCAAATAGTTTTATAAATTTTATGTTATTAATTACATGAAAAGAGCTAACGTGATTTTATTGAAGAAGACGTATTTGACAAGATGATGTCTTGTTTCTCTGTGCTGCATCAGTCCGCACAGTACATACACACCGTCCATTTGCTGGTAGAAGTGAATATCCTGGAAATTTAAACATAAAGAAAAAATCTAAAGTGCAAATTCTTAACTAAAAGAATTAGATCTTTTAAAGATGCAGAAGCTACCAATTTCTACTCTTTGTACTAGTAAAGGTGTTACACGCATATTCGTACTTAAACCTAATGTCAATAATTGGTTTCATTGTGAGCCTATCTTCAGTAGTAGTAATGAACATAGATATCTTTCAGAATGTTCTAAAAACAGTGCGTTGACGTTTCTTCATCCAATGCCTTTACCATTTTGGCCAAGATGTTCAAATCATCTACTCAGGGCTATCTTACTGCACTTTATTACATGATATAGGAGAACAACGGCAAGATTGATAACTTATGATTGCTTCTACTTATGGGCAACTGCAACTTAAGAGACACAAGGCCAAGCCTGTGCGTAGAGTGCCATTCTCCCCCATTTTTGCGATGCGGATTGAATTCCATCTATGAAAAATCATGACTCTCCTACGGCTGTTCACCCATAGTTACTATCTGACAATTCTTCTTCTTCAGAACTTCGAATTCTATAACACATACGGATGGCGCAGCGGTTTTAGCGGTCACCTCGCCGCTTCCTACTGCGCTGGGTGTTTGTGGGCGCTGATAAATTGTTGTTCTGAGTCTGGGTGTTCTTTGAGTTCGTTTTATGAATATTTGTAAAGTCCCCCGCGACACAGGATATATTCTTAATGCGGGAGTTATGTTTAAAAGATGAAAAAAGACAGATAATCTTCTTTTATATACCTGTGTCACCAAATCGTAGAGTAAGCACTCCCTAACGATGCAGTGTTCAAGGATATCACAGAGGGCTGATTCGTCCAGAAACGTCCACAACAAGTCCAGCATAGTACAAAGACGAGGTTGGGGCTGAGCAAGAAGCTTAGAGGCGAGATCAACCTAGTGGTATAAAAATGACTAAATAAGTATTATTTTTATCGAAACCAATATATTGGCTTTCCAAATTATAATAGATTAAATTAGATTAGATATAATATTACTAGTACTAATAGAAGCCTATAATAATGTATTATAATTTGGATAGACAATATAATACGCAGAAGTGTAGATGTAATGTCGCCGAAGTAGTCGGCGCAGTGAGTTTGATTCGTTGGCAACGTGTTAAAAATGATAGGACGGGTTTACCGCTGCTCTATTAGCTCTAATAGTCATCCAAAGCTCCAAAGGTACAATATAGGAGTTTACATATATAAATAAAACTAGGTCATAAGCTTATAAAAGTATGAATTGGCAGACCTGAGAATATTACAACTTTTAATTTTTTCCCACAGCTAGACCTTGGAATGATAATGAGGTTCTCGCAACTACAAAAATTGCATTTGAGCTGACCTGAATCGCACTAGAATACAAAAGGTCAATTTACGGTTAAAGGTCAAAAGATTGAAAGGCTACACCCTTCTCAGAATTAAATCATTACCAAGATTTTAAGAGGATAATTGTTGCTTTAGTCCTGTTCATAAATTCAGTTATTGTATTCCAGGGGTGTGAGGGGCGAACCACCATCTTTCGCCCCAAGCCAACCTCACCTGCCCGCGGTGCATCCTGCTGAACGACGAACGAGGCTCTGGCGACCGACCGATGGCGGTATATCCATCCCAATAGGCGTAGCTAAATACAACAGGCCGGTGACGGGCAGCAGCGTTACCGGTGCGACAAGCTACGTCCTGCGATCGCCAACCCGCCTGCCCAGCGTGGCGATTATGGGCAAACCCCTCCCATGCAGACGCAACAAAGGCCACGGCCCCCAGTTCCCGGCGGCCCCGCTATTCCTGGTCATGGTGGCGACCTCGGTAAAGGCGGGGCAGGGGGTGCGAAGAATCTCCGGGCTACGGGAGGCCACCACAACCGACTGACCCTGGCTACGTACAACGGACGCACGCTACGGCTAGACTCGCATCTGGCGCAACTTGAGGTGGAACTTGGGAAGATTAGGTGGCATATCCTAGGGCTATGTGAAGTCCGAAGAGAGGGGGAGGACACCATAACCCTCGAGTCAGGCCACCTAATGTACTTCCGCGAGGGAGACCAACAATCCCAAGGTGGGGTTGGGTTTCTGGTAAATAAGTCCCTATCTGACAACGTTGTGGAAATTTCCAGTGTGTCGAACAGGGTAGCGTACCTCATTATCAAGCTCACCGAGAGGTATAGCCTCAAGGTTGTGCAAGTGTACGCACCGACCTCGGCACATTCGGACGACGAGGTGGAAGATATGTACGATGACATATCGAGGGCCCTCCACTTCACAACTAAGACCCACTACAACGTTGTTATGGGTGACTTCAACGCTAAAGTGGGAGTACAGAATTGCGGCGAATCGGTAGTAGGATCCCATGGATTTGGAAGCAGGAATCATAGGGGGCAAATGCTGGTCAACTTCCTCGAACGGGAGGGGCTGTTTTTGATGAATTCTTTCTTCAAGAAACAGCCCCAAAGGAAGTGGACGTGGCAAAGCCCCGACGCTATGACCAGAAATGAGATCGATTTCATCATGACGGATAGAAAGCACATATTCAGAGACGTCTCAGTGATCAATAGGTTTAATACCGGTAGTGATCACCGACTTGTCCGGGGCTCTCTGAATATCAACTTTAAGGCGGAACGTGTCTGTTTGATGAAATCCAGGCTCCGACCAACTCGGCTCCAAGCCATGACAGGATCTGAAACGTTCCAGTCAAAACTGGAAAACCGATTCGCTGCCGTGGAAACCACAATCGACGTAAACCAGAACCTCAAAAATGTGGTTCAGATCCTCAGGGAAGAAGGTATGAGATTTTGTGAAATGCAGCGTAAGGGCAGGAAGTCGAAGCTTTCAGAAAGGACCCTAGGGCTGATGAAGAAACGACGTGAAAACCCACCTGTCACTTTGTCGGCAAAGCGGACTCTAAACCGAGAGATCAGTAAACTCGTACGACACGACCTCCGGTGCTCCAATACTCTTTCAATTGAAAGAGCGATCGAGCAAAATCGGGGGTCAAAAGTGTTCGTACAATCTCTTGGAAGAAGCCACCTGACAAAGTTGACTACAGAAAGTGGAGAAGTCGTTGCTTCGAAGCCGGCAGTCCTTTTGGAAGTGGAAAGCTTCTATGGCCGGTTATACGCTTCGCATGCATCTCGACCTGATCCCGAAAATGAGGACTCTAGAGCCACATTAACACGTCACTACACCGAAGACCTGCCAGAAGTTAGCATTGACGAAATCGAGATGGCTCTTGGACAGCTGAAAAATGGAAAAGCCCCTGGAGAGGATGGCGTTACAACAGAGCTGCTGAAGGCCGGGGGTAAACCCGTACTAAGGGAGCTCCAAAAGCTCTTCAACGCTGTCCTGTTTGAAGGGAGAACTCCAGAAGCGTGGAGTAGGAGTGTGGTCGTCTTGTTCTTCAAAAAGGGTGACAAGACCAGGTTGAAGAACTATCGACCCATATCCCTTCTAAGCCACGTCTACAAGCTGTTTTCGAGAGTCATCACGAACCGTCTTGCGCGAAGACTCGACGAATTCCAACCACCGGAGCAAGCTGGGTTTCGGAGCGGATATGGCACCATAGACCACATCCACACAGTGCGGCAGATTATACAGAAGACCGAAGAATATAATCAGCCCCTGTGTCTAGCATTCGTGGACTATGAGAAAGCCTTTGACTCGATCGAGATCTGGTCTGTTCTGGAGTCCCTGCAGCGTTGCCAAGTAGATTGGCGATACATCAAAGTGATGAGATGTCTCTACGAAGCCGCCACCATGTCCGTCCAAGTACAGAATCAGCAAACAAGGCCCGTACCATTGCATCGAGGAGTGAGACAAGGGGACGTTATTTCCCCGAAATTGTTCACAAATGCAATGGAGGACATGTTCAAGACGCTGCACTGGAAAGGGCGTGGCATCAATATCAATGGCGAATACATCTCTCACTTGCGATTTGCAGATGACATCGTCATCATGGCAGAGACGTTGCAGGACCTACAGCAAATGCTGAATGACTTAGCTGACACTTCTGTACGCATCGGCCTACGGATGAACTTGGATAAAACCAAGGTCATGTTCAACGAACATGTACTACCGGAACCGATTGCGGTACACGGTGCCGTTCTCGAAGTTGTTCAAAATTATGTGTACCTCGGGCAGACATTGCAGTTAGGTAGAAACAACTTCGAGGACGAGGTGAACAGAAGAATTCGGTTGGGTTGGGCAGCGTTTGGGAAGCTACGTCGAGTCTTCTCATCGTCGATCCCACAGTGCCTTAAGACGAAAGTCTTTAATGAGTGCGTCCTACCCGTCATGACATACGGAGCTGAAACGTGGACACTTACGGTACGGCTGGTCCACAAGTTCAAAGTCGCTCAACGTGCTATGGAAAGGGCTATGCTCGGCGTTTCTCTAAGGGATCGCATCAGAAATGAGGTGATCCGGCAGAGAACTAAGGTCACCGACATAGCGTACCGGATCAGCAAGTTGAAGTGGCAGTGGGCTGGCCATATTAGCCGCAGAACCGATAACCGTTGGGGAAAACGAGTTCTTGAGTGGAGACCGCGTCTCGGCAAACGTAGTGTAGGACGCCCACAGGCCAGGTGGAGTGACGATTTGCGCAAGATGGCTGGCAGGAGCTGGATGCGAGAAGCCCAAAATCGATCTAAGTGGCGTGCAATGGGAGAGGCCTATGTCCAGCAGTGGACTGCGATAGGCTGATGATGATGATGATTCCAGCGGCAAAATGAAGAATGGTACTCTAATATTTTTAGGGCTCTGAACTTCATTAGAAATAACGGTACTCCTACAGAAGGGAAAGGATGGGGAATTAATGTCTGCTAAGCTATGTGTATCATTTTACGATTTAAATACAAACGAGCCATCAAAACGATTGTTTCTGTAGAAACATATATTTATATTACTTTTTCTGCCTCCATCTAAAATATGTAATTTTAATGTTTGGTAAGCATTTTAAAAAGAAACTGAGAATAAATATTATCTTTATAATCCTAACAGATACTGCATAAATGTAAACTTATACTTTGCTTGACTGATTTGTTGGTCTAGTGGTTAGTGATCCTGACTGCTACTAGTAGTACTGCCCAGAGGTTGTGGGTTCGATTCCCACCCAAGACAATTAATTGTGTGAGGATCACGATCATTTGATCTGTGTCTGGGTGTAATATATCTACGATATGTATGTATTTTGAAATGTGTAGGTATGTTTATGAGCTGTCTGGTTACCATAGTACAGGCTCCGCCTGGTTTTGGGAACAGACGACAGGGATAACTGTTGTCATTACACTTTTTTCACAAATACTGTGTTATCTAGAAGATGTATTCTACTGGTCTCTCCAATTATAGAACCGATGTACAGGCGACCTCAACCTTTTGCTGCATGCCTATACCCCGCGGGTGAGGCATGTGGGCTTTTCATTAATACACGTTGCGCTGATCTCAAAGGAATTAGAAAATATACCTTAAAGCATATTATCTGGTACAGTAAAATATTAAAGTTTAATGGCATTACGTACAAAATTCTCATCTTTAACTTTAGTGTAGAATTCTACTGCATGTTGGTCAGGGTTTAAGCTTCTGGATTTAAGGCCGAGCTGACCTCGCATACGAGGTAGTAGTTCAGAGACCACAACGTAAGAGAGTCGGAGAACTCCTCCCAATTCCACCACTACTAGTCGAGCCAGAGACATCAGGAAAGCCTGGGAAGAATAAAACAATTGGGGTCTTGTAAAAAAAAAAAACCAAATCTGTTTTACATTTAGAACTGAACCGGGTAGAATTAGCTTCTCCAGATATATTGAGCCTTTGCGAAGACCTTTATGAGTCTATAGTCGATTCCCACATCCTTGATAAGTTTTTAAAACTCTTCAGAGGGGAGTTTTTAGGACGAGTGCGATCTGGGCCGGTTGTTTTATCGATTCGCAACAGTTAAAATTCCCTACTCCAGTAGGGAATTTTAACTGCTCCGACATTCCATTTTTGGCTATTTTTCTTAGCGATAGAATTAACTTTGTCATCCTAAAAATACTCTTATAGATAAATGTCACTCAATTTCCCGATCGGAAAATATAAATTTGTAATCATGAATGAATGTTTTTAGGGTTCCGTACCTCAAAAGGTAGAAAAGGAACCACCGATTTTCTCAGAAACGGGTGGATCTAGCAAGTTGAAATTTATACGAGATACTGAAGTCTATAGTCCCTATTAGGTGTATACAAATCAAGGTCCTGAGTCAACACGATAAAAAGATATAGGCAAATTTAGATTTTCGCGGAAACTTGTAAGTACCAAAATTTACCTTAATTTTCAACTTTTTTTATTTTTTGGAATTTTCCTTTTATTTGTGCTGTACATTGCTTTTAACCAAAATTAAATATTCTAGGTCAACCGGAAGTACCCAATAGGTTTTAGGTAGAAAACCTAAACGGTGGTTTCCGTTGACCTAGAATTACAAAATTTGGCAAAAATAAAAATGTTACAGCACAAATAAAGGAAATATTCAAAAAAATAAAAAAAGTTAAAAATTAAGGTAAATTTTGGTACTTACAAGTTTTTGCGAAAATCTAGTAAAATCTGGGTAGGTACGGAACCCTCGGCGTACGAGTTCGACTCGCACTTCACCGGTTTTTTTTATTTGTATAACAATATTAACTATTTTCAGATACTTCCTTAACTGATTTTGTGAGACCTAGCTTCAAATTTAATAAAAGCACCCTGTAAATTTTAATTTACTCGCAAAATGTTGAAATATAAGGCATGAATGGCTATATATCTTGATTACGTTGACTTAGAAGCTTGATTTTATTACAACTTCAAGAGACTGCTAAGGTAGAAGAACAGTCTCTTTTTTTAACTGGACTGAACCCTTAAAAAGATAAATGATAAGCTAAGTTAAAATTTGCAATTTCATAAATAAATGGTAGATATTGAGATTTACTTTTCTAGACATCTTTTTATTTTCTGCATTCTGTATGTCAATGTCAGCGTGCGGAGAGGATCGAGGACTGTAGACAGAATCCGTGCTGTGAATCCGCAACGCAACCTCCTCTTCCATTCCTTTTGATGTATCTGATTTCGCCTTGGAACATACAAAACACATAAATAAATACTATGTCAGTGACGCAGTTTATTCGAGCTACTGTAAAATTTGCCGTAAAGTTTCCACGACTGTAAACTACGCTTAATTTGTTCGCTCCACCAACGTAGACTCTTAAGACCTCGCATTAGAATTTCTTTGTGCATATGCCGTTCAATCAAGACCTTTTTTAGGGCAAGAATAATTCAACACAACAGATAATTTCAAGTCTAATAGGGATTGGGTATAATAATCTACACATTGGGTGTAGATAACGGTTTATTTGACTGAACGTTACCTTGCTACTCTTTGCAGTCAACGTAGTCTTTAATTCTGAAGGTCTAGCCAGCTCATCCAACAACGCGTCAAGAGACTTGAAGAGGAGCATTGCGCGGGTGCATTCACGAGTTGGTGCAGCCTGCAGTGGCATGAAGTTGTCTACAGGGAAACTGTAGTCACAAAATATACGATATTAAAGTTGATTGGCTCTATTAAATCTGAAAGTTACGGTTATCACTTATGAGGTAATTATTATACTAATTAACATAAAAAGAAAAATCCTGCTATTTATTGGCAATTGAGCTTATGACTATACTCGTAATTCGAGAAAATTCGATTTTTCGAAATTTAAAGAGGTGGAGATACTGAAAGCATATTTTTTTTCAATGCAACTGCTGTAAGTTAGAGAAGACAGCCTCCTTCGGGTTAATTATCTCTACTTCTATATAAAACACTTTAATAATAGAAGTTGAGTTTCTAAAAGAAAAAAACCAGGCGCGTAAAATTTATTTGTATTCGTAAACGACCGGTGGGTGATATACGCCAAGAATAAAGACTGATTCATACATCACAATTTGTAAACAATTTGCTTCATCTACGTCTGGTTCTGATGCACAGATCCTCAATGTATTCCTAGCGTAAATTACTATACCACTGTTTTGATTAAACTTTTTTTTACATTGTACCAAGTATATGACGGCATCTGTTGTTTACTATAAAACATTTATCAAGCTATCATTCTGTTAAAATAAGTATAAATCGAAATATGTAGATCTTGAATATTTTGGGAGGGATAAAATTAGAAAAGGCGAATTTCAAATTTTTTAATTGCAGGGGAGAATATTCTTGGAATAAATATTGCATTTCGTACCAATTGAATTTAACTCATTTAATATATTATTTCTATCAATTACAGTTAAGTAATAAATTAATTTCCCAGCTTGTGGGTCCTGTGCTTAGCGATTTTAACTAAGCTAAGCCATACAAGTGGTAATTAAGTATGCTTATTGTACAGTGTCGTGAACTGTACGTGAACTGCACTCACACATAAACTTACAAACTTTTTAAGTTTGTAAGTTGATGTGGGAGTCTGATGGTGAGAGGAAAGTCTTCACGTAGTGTTCAAAAGTTTATTGTTCACTAGTTACGTAAAATGATATAAAGTGATTTTTACAACAGAGCGAATGTTACCAAGTTGAAGTGCACACTGAATCAAATAAATTATTATTATCAAATAAATGATTAAATTATACGATTTACGTAATCAGCTAAATAATATTTATTATATTATATTTGCCAAAGTGTACGTAAATCGTACACTTATTATTTCAACTGTATATTCATTCATTCAGTAACATTGTTTGTTATATGCATTATTGTAAATATAATAATTTTAAATTTATTTGTTATTGCTTTCCTAGGTACGAGTAATAGTTACTTTTTCCTTTTCTCTTTCATCGTCATGACCTGATAGATCAGCGTCAGTATAGATCACTAGGTGTTAGCAGAATACCAGCCCTACTTCCTTGAAGTGGCATAACACTAAAGTATCATGCATTTCTAACTCATGTAGAGGTATTTTTATAAACTTGTAAATTGTGTTGTGTGTAAAAATATTGTTTGTATACGCTCAGAATATTTTTTTCTTCCTTGATTCTGTCGTTCTTTCACTCTCAAACGTTCACTGTACATCTCAAATACATTCAATCTTACTTATAAGTAATAAAACAATTACTTACACAAACGGGACATGTCCGAAGTTAGCATATAGGTGTTCTTGCATAGCTAGTGACACAGCTGGGAAATATGCTAGACCAGCTCCGTGTGTTACATTGTCAAAAGCTACGCCCAGAGACAAGCCATTCCTAGAGGCAGATCAAGAGCCTGATTATTTTTATTACTCATCTTCTTTGTAAAAAAATATTTTATGCTCTTGTAAATAGGTATCTTCTCTCTCCTTAAAAAATACCCAAAAATGGATAGAAACTACTCTTAGTACTAAATTTGATTTCGATTCAGATTTTTTAAAACACCAGTAGAGTATGTAAGTATGAGTCTCACTTTAGTAGCGATATTATTGTACAAACTTGTATGTAAATGACAATACCTGAAAAATTCCAGCGTCCCCTTATCCAGGTCGATGCATGTGCCAATGACGTCACCAGGTAACCAAGCCTGGCCATAAGGTGATGTAGCAACATTCCATTTTCGTACTCTGCCGCCATCATAGGCGTAGGAGTGAGCTGTGTCCCCCACTCCAGTGTCCATCGAAAATACGCACGGAGCTGTACACCAGCCGACCTATTAGGCACCAAATGCGAAATAAAAATGAAGCCCCTTTTGTTTCAAGGTCTTTGTAAATTTAGCTTGCGGTCTCTGATACTCCAGTCAAAGGTATGCAGTATAAAAATCGTCTCATACTAATATCTAATCACATAAATTATATTATTCATACTTGCATGATCCCCTTAGTGCCAAGTTGAACTTCGTACATCCATTTGCCAGCAAACACACAGGCTGTTCCTCTGATGGTGGCAAAGCTTGAGAGACCTTGAACACTCACTCTTTCATCTCCTACTAAGACCAGACGGCCAGTACCTAAGAACATAAAACTTCATCCAGTCAGACCACTATGGACAAGACTGCAAAGAATGGCTGTACTAGTGAACCATGGTTTGCCAAGAAGGTCGTTTCCTATTAAACGGTTTTATTAAATGATTTTATTTAGCTTGACCTGTTTGGGTCAAATTTAGTTATTAAAATTTAACCGATTAATGTACAATTTGGCGCACACGTTCTGATAACAATACAAATATGTATATTCATTGTTATTACAAAACCAAGAAGACTGCCACAACGAAATGGTCAACCACATTTTTTTCAACTCCCAATATTGTATCAAATGCAGGGACTTGACTAGTAGTACAGTACATCATAAAACCCTAATTAAAAATGACCGCAACCATAAAATGATTTACATACACCATCATTTTATCATTCTTATCAATAACACCGTTTAACTTTTTAAAAACCTAATACTTATTATTTTAATTTAGAGGCAGCCAAGGTTTAACTGTTAAACAAAATTTTAAAAAGCCAAATGACATTGAAACAAGATGCTGCTATGCATGCATGATTTGAAAAGTAAAGTAAAAGTACCAGTAGAGGCGTCGAACACCACAATTTTCGGTCCGATTCTTCCAGGTCGTTTATCTGCTGTTTCGGTTATTACCTATAAATATTAAATAGTTTCCTAAATAGCACGTTATTTGAAAATTAAATGGATGATGCACAAATAGGTAGGTATGACTTTTTGTTTAGTTGTAGCAAGATTTTAAAATAATATAAAATTCAGACTGTACTATTCAAAAGTTTCAATTAGGTATGTAATTGCAATATTAGCTGGTGAGCAGTTCCGCGAATCAGCTAATTAACTGTAAGAGTGAGAGTTGAAATGATAGTAGAAATTAATTTGCAAGGCAATTAACATTATATATCTAGTGGTACGGCTATAAGCAGATAAGCAAAGACATGACGCAGAGTTCGGTTATTTTGTAAATTGAATATTTTTCCTTACCTCCGGTGCAGGAAGGTGTTTTTTGGAGGATTTGACTTTGTAGTTTAACACTTTGGTGTCCAGCACCTTGGGCAGGTTTTCACTAATATAGCTGACGTATTTACTCCTTCTGGCACAAAAAGACACACAAAACAAAAACAAAAATTAGCATTCTATTTGGCACTTTTAAAGCAAATTTTCTGATTTCTTAATAATAAGGGATAAAGTATGAATTTGCCGTTGTAGAGTAATAGATAGTTTGAATTGACATAAAACCTTCATGGTGTGAGATTTTCGTGTAAAACTTTTTTCACATAATACCTAAAGGGTTCTTCTTTCAAAAAATGTGCAACATTCGATTTTCCACTTTCCAGCTTAGACGTGAAAGATGGATATTTCGAAAATCCGTGTCATTTTTCAATACGAGTTCCGACGCGGAAATAACGCGGCAGAAACGCCTCGCAATTTCAACCTGCGCTCGGAGAGGAGACTGCTAATGAACGCACTGTGCGGTTTTGGTTTAAACGCTTTCGTAATGGAAGCTTCGACGTGAAGAACGAACCAACACAGGCGAATAACGCTGAATTAAATATCCGAGTCAAACCGCCCAGGAATTAGTAGCATGGTTTACCCTACCTACAATATTGACTCATTTTCATCAAAACAATAAGATAAAAAATATGAAAAATGGGTTTGACTGATCATTGATTTGACAAACAAGAAATGCGTGTTGAGACTTGTGTTGCCGTGTTGAATCAATGCAGAAATGAAGGAATATTGTGACGTGTGACGAAAAGTGGATTGTTTACTATAACCAGTTCAAACGCCGCTACAGTGCCTTGACTGTGCCAAACTTCCAACAATGATGGCGAAACTGGCAGTGAAACAGCCCCGACTCGTGAATCGATCTTCACCGTTATTGCTCCATGATAACGCAAGACCTCACACTGCACGAGAAACTGTTGTAACTCTAGATTAGCTGCAGTTAGACCCCATACGTCATCCTCCTTACTCGCCAGACCTTGCTCCAACGGACCACCATTTTTTTTTGATTTGATTAATTTATTTTATTTTTATTTAATTTTTTTTGCACAAAAAACAATTCATTGTACAATGGCGGATTTAATGGCATAGGCATTTCCTCCCATTCTACCTTTGGGTGGTAGGGAAATGTCTGAGTAGGTGCACTAGAAATTAAGTTTTAAATGTAACGTGGTAATAATAATTAAGGATATGGACAGAACCAGTGTGACAGATATACATACATACTGAGTGCTGAGACATGCTTGCTGAGTTACATACATACATATATATACATATAATACACTATACAAAATTTTAGGGATGTGATGAATATGCTAGAGTGTCGAGAATTCGAGCTTGGACTTTCGTCTTAAATTTTTTTCTTCCCAGGAGGCAGTACAAAATGCTTTCACAGAGTTTGTCCAACCTATATCCCTATAGTTCTATCGTAAAGGCATAAATGCACATCCGTTTAGATGCAGCAATGTTTAGATAATGAAGGTAAATATTTTGATAAACAAATATGTCACATCTTAGAAAAAAACGAGTTTCAATTTTTCAGTACAATTCGGCAAATTCATACTTTAACCTCCTTTCTAAGGAGAGGCCTATGTCCAGCAGTGGACTAGTAAAGCCTGTTGATGATTGATGATGATGATACTTTAACCCCTAATATTATAGAATTTAACAATTTTAGTTGTCTAAACTAAAATTGTAAACCTATTTCTTATTGTAAAAAAACAAATAATAAGAAGAAAGAAAAATACCATTATTTCTTACTCGTATTCATCTTAAACATGCTACGATCAGTGTTCACTTATAGAGAGATGCAAATTATTATTTAAACATTTCCAAAAACTTTAAATTTAGACATCATTTAGGAGAAATTGAAATCTACAGAATCAGCACTACAATACATTGAAATATTGATTTGTAAATTAAATAATAATATACACAACTATTAAAATAAATTAATGTACTTGGTTTTTTTTTAATGCAATTCAAAAAATGCCTCTGCACTTCGCGTCGCGTCGTCTACTGGTAGCGTTCTTACCACGTTAAACGGCAGTGCCATTTATTCGCCGTGCTAGACCTTATGACCTCGCGAAGTGTCGATCAGTAGCTTAGCTAATTCTAAATAAATAGTACCAGCACTTGGACCCTGTGGCCCATCTTCCATGGCAGTAATGATATACCATCTGGGCCCTGTTTAATAAACGTTACAAACCGACAATTTTGTAAATAAATGACATATTTGTGAGGTAAGCTGCTTAATAAACCTAACAATTATGTAAGAATTTTACAAGTAAAAACACTACAAATATTACAAGTTCTGTTTAATAAACGTTTATATGTACAAAAAACGGGGGTAGATTTTGATAACAATATTGTATTTACAAAAGTTACAAATTACATAAAATGTAAGTTTTCGTTAAATATTCTTAAACTGAGGGTTCTTAAACTAAGGGGTTTCATTACAAAAATCTTACAATTTTTAAATGTTTAGAATTTCATTTTAGCACTTGGTTTACATAGCACTTTCATTCAAAACTAAAGTTATGGAGTCAATAATAAATTTTTTTTGAATGTAAAATCTGGCACATCAAAAGTAAAGTTTATTCTTTTACGAAAAACTCGCTAATTTTCTGCACCTATTAAATTGAAATACAAAATAGAAGTTTTGTGTCGGAATTGTTTTATAATTTACAAAATTAGTTATTACAATTATGCGTTCAATAAAATAGTTTTCCCTACAAATATGTAAGTTGGCACTTGTAAAGGGAAAAGATTTATGAAACAGAAATATGTAAAATTGTACGTACAATTTAACAATTTTCGACCTTAGTAAATTTGTAAGTTGTGTTCTTTTATACACAAACTTCTAGATTTGTGACTTGTAAAATACAATTACAATTTACAATTTGTAACGTTTCTTAAACAGGGCCCTGGTATCGTACCAGATCGTTAGGTTCAGGTTCAGGGTGGTATGCCGGTGGCAACAAGAACACGACGTATATATATATATAATATAAACATACATACATAAATACAACATTTTTATATTATATAGCAATACCTTGAGACATATAACACATCGCTATCTAGAGGCGAACTAAGCAGGACTTTTACTAATGGCTCTAGAACTCGGATAAACATACATACTCACTGGTTTAATCGATCTGCATTATCTTTCATCACCATCTCACTACCGAACACTTTTCTGATGGTGTCATGTACTTCTCCTTTTTCGGCAGAGCTACTGCACACGCCGAACATAGACCGAAGAACATTCATGATTATCAAAATTTGCTCTTGCTTTAAGTAATCCTTTGGAAGTTCAACCTAATTAGAATCTACAGCTAAGGTAGATTTAATCTTCTATCTCGAATTAGCGCTGATCAAAATGTTATGTTATGTTATGTTAAATATACATCTTTCATTCTAGGCGAAAGTCCTATGGCAAAAGTTATCTCTAAACTAACTTTAGCGGGTCTTTAGGATTTCAGGGTATAATATTCTTGTCGCATAAATTTAGGAACTGCAATAATAATTTAAATTGAAATTTAAGGCGTATTTATTATTCACCATTTAAAATTGTTGCTAAAATATGTTTAAAAATCATATCAAGAGTATTTAATTATGTAATTAATCATGTGGTAGTGTCAAGAATACAACGTCAACATGAAGTTTACGATTAAAATGTTGATAAAAAGATTTGACAGCGATTTTCTTAAAAACTCATTTTACAACGCCTGCCTTTTTTTTACCAAGAAGTCCTGAATCCAATACAAAAGATAATTTAGATAGAACTGTTGAAATGAACTATTCATAAACAAAATTGTATCATAACTTAGAAGACAAAATAAATCATGGTTTTAAGGTAAACTGAATTTTAAGGTAAAAAAGAGCTTTATTAACCACCGTGCCTTTATCATCAGATCAAAGTTAGCAAGACCAATCTGTTGGAGTATTCAAAACAAAATATACGAATCCAAACCCAACACCTATTCTTCGCGGGAGGCTTTATTTCTGTAGGTGTCATCCACATGCGGTTATACGTCAGTTTGATTGTGGCACACGTAAGCGCATTTCTGCTGCTCTGGACGTCGCTTGACAGCGTTTCAGATCGACTTGGAGATATTCTTCGGGTCCACTCCATCGTCTTTTCGTGCGATGACTTCTTAATATAAGTCGTTTTGACCGAACAGATTACAAGCGAATCGCTTACCAAAAAGTACCTAACATGAAATATCTAATCATAGTATGCTTTTAAAATCACAAGCTAACTCTGTCTCTGTTTTGAATAAGATTTGTGGTGTTCGAGAGGTATAGATTTATTATTAACAAAAAAAGTTGGCAAAACATACAATCCGAATGTTTACATACAATAAGTGTGTGCGCAATTCTCGACTTTTGGTGAGTTATTAGTGAAATTCAAGTGTTAAGATAAAGTTGTGTAAGATACAGCAATTGCTGCGATATAAAAGTGGATTAATGAAGATTTGGTTTGCACAATGCGATTAACACATGTCTTGTTGTAAAAGTATATGACAGGTCCTGTCCTTTTAAATTACTCATCATCGATTTTTTAAGTACTAAGCCTCTTCAGCAGTCAAGAGTCTACATAAGGAATGAATAATTGAACAGTAAATACTGAAACTAAACTGCTGAAAAAATGTTTGTACACCCAACAATTCTGTATGTACTAAGCCTATTTATGGTAAATAAAGAGTTTATATTTGTGTCATGTATTAATTATATTTTCGCTAACTTTACTTTATTTTGATGTTAGAAACCGCAGCGAATTTATCAGGGCGTAGAGTATTGATTAAAAGAGGTTTAAACCAAAAACGTCTTGAGTAGAGTGAGTAGTCTGGATGTGAAAAAAATTACACTATAGATAAGACGCTTCTTTATCTGAGTAAACAAACAGTATATTTATTATACCTAACACGAAGTAACGCTGAACAAAGATAAATGTTCTTAAATATCGTCGTCTCCACACCAAGGCCAAGTTCGCAATAAATATATTTATTTTTTAGCGGATGCCAATAAATTTTAATGGCTTGTGAAATATCAAAAGTCCGAGGCCTTTAGGCAACTTTGTGCTTTATTATTTTCGAACCGGGACTGTTACTTGTTATTTAGGGTTGTCATTGTTCTAAAAATATTAATTCGGTAACGGTAACTATGTTTGAAAACAAAATAGTATTTACATAAAAAGCATCAGCTGACAAAATTTCATGTTTGTAGCCCTAGCAGTTTAGGCTCTGCGTTGATAAATCAGTCAGACAATCAGGGCAAGTAATTTTATATGATTATATTAGGTCTTTCCTATGAAATTGCCGTTTTGTATGCAATAAGTGAAAGTACTTAGTTTTTCTAAACGTATTTTCTTTCTTTCTTTCTTTTCAAACTTTTTTATTTCTGTTATTCGAAGTAATCACCCATGCAATCGACGCATCTTTGCCAACGCATTGGCAGTTTATTGATGCCCTTCTTGTAAAAATCACCTGGACGGGAGGCAACACACTCTTCACAGGCATTTTGTACTGCCTCTCGGGAATTGAATTTTTTACCCACTAAAAGTTGTCTAAATTTTGGAAAAAGTAATAGTCGGTAGGTGCATTATTTACTGCCTATTATTTCAGTTAACAAGTCCCCCAAGTGCCCCATAACAAGTCCTTTTATTAAATATTTAACACAGTACAGTTCGTCTCCTAGTGTGAGCCCAATAATTTAAAGTTGATTGATTTCATAGATGTATTGACGTTTCACATTCTATATCTATGTTTTAAATCACAGGAATTCACATTACTACTAGATTTGAACTTAATCGACCTAGTAGATTAAGGCGGGCAAGTTAGGAGTTTTTGTAGGAGGAACCGTAGATACGAATCGAAGGGAGGAGGAAGGGAAAAATGAAATGAACGGCAAGTCGTCTGAGCACGAAGCTGTATACTTGTGTAAAACATCTTAAGAGTCGATAAGGTCTTATTTTCTTTCTCCAAGGAGGTGTTATTATTTCAAAATAATTTAAAACCAACTGAGGACTCTGTGTAGATATTAGTACTCAATCTTACTTATCAATTTTAATAAAATAACCAGTAACTAAGAATTCATTCATTGATATTTGAAGATAATAAAGGTTAAAAAGTATTGTTGAAATATTTGACCTTTAAGCACATTCTTATGATAAAATACTTCATGAAAAAAAGTTACTATTCGTTGACAGCCCTGAAAAAATAATTTAAATTCATTTGTTTAGAAAAACACAGTGCCTATAAAGTTATTTATTACTTTTTACGGGCTCGATATAAACGCTGCCAATTAAAATTTTAATCTTTGTCTGAACAATAAACTCTCCGAACAAATAGCGCACAGACCTTTAAATTTTAATGGTCTGTGAAGGTGTTGTAAAGCCGGATCTTAAAGGGGATAGTTCATTAATTAATGGCTTTATGTGGCCAAGCCGTTATTAGTAAATTCCACCTTATACGTGATTAAAAATTATAGCACTATTTAGATTACTCATATTTCACCAGTCCTTGTGAATAAGACACTAACAGTTATAGGAATTTCTCATATTACGTTATTTACTTCCTTTTTCCTAGTTTCTCTTTCTGGAAACTTAAATTTAATTTATTTATCATCTCACATCTACAGCCTTTAATAGTCCACTGCTGGACATAGGCCTCTCCTTAGAAAGAAGGTTTTGGCCTACTATACCACGCCGGCCAGACGGGTTGGTATAGGGTTTGTGTCAAGTTTTCCTTCTTTTTGCAGTGCTGGTGTCCTGCGTTGTTTTGCGCCCTTAGTCGGCTCTTACTTAAAATACTCTTACTTACTTAACTTAATTAAAATAACATAATGTGAAATGTGGACGCTAAGCTAATTTTAGTCTTATGAAAGTCAGGAGTTGGGTCGATACCCCGAGATTCGAGAAATCGATGACCGGAAATCCCAACTCCGCCAGGTCATCATAGGGGAGTGGAGGGAACGACTCGGGCAACCGAGCGCCGGGCACGCCGTCATTGCGGCGGTAAGACCCGTTATGGAGGATTGGCTCGAGAGGCGTCACGGGACCCTCTCATACCGATTGACGCAGGTGATCACTGGGAAGGGATGTTTCGGAGATCACCTGTGTCTGATCCGCAAGGAGCCAACGCCTGAGTGCCACCACTGCGATGGCCAGACCGTGGACACGGCTCTCCACACGCTGGCAGAGTGCCCGGCGTGGGTTGAGCAGAGGCGAGACCTCGTGGCGGCCATCGGAGTGGGAGTTCTCTCGCTCGATAGCCTGATTGCGGCTATCGTGCGGAGCGAGAGTGCGTGGAACTCTGCCGTCTCCTTCTGCGAGCAAGTTATGCTCGCGAAGGAGACGGCGGAGCGGGACCGGGAGAGGTTTAGAACTCTCCCGGCCCGCCAGGCCCGGGCACGGGCCAGGCAGCGCAGGCGACTCAGGCGCCGGAGGTCGCAGAACGACCTTCGTCCTCCATAAGCGCAGGCCTGGGGGTGACAGGTGAGGCCATCTGTCACCCTAGCAGAAGCAGGCCGGGGTGGCGGCGAGCGCGTTGCGAAGCGCGCTCGCTTCCAGGGAGCACAGGGAACATGGGGTTCCCACACGGGGCGGGGGTCGTCTACTCGTCTGTAGATGACCCGAGGTATGTCGGGGCACCAGGGCCTTCCTTTCTAGGGTATACCTGGTTCCCCGGCTATTAGTACCCGGCGAAGGCGTGCGGTTTTAGTCGGTTCGAGTCCGACATGCCACCGACAGGTGGTATCCGAGGGGATTTCCGCACGGAAAAAAAAAAAAAAAAAAAAAAAAAAGTCTTATGAAAGTGTTTAGTTACAGAAATTTCAATAACATTAAGGAAAGTCGTTTATCAGCATACGGGACTGAAACATAAATCTCGTAAAGAAATACATGAAACAAAAGTCGTACAACTTGCAGTTCTTTTAATGTGAGGTAGTTACTTAATCTATGTTAACTAACAACTTTTTATAGTACCCGTGGCAATATTATACATTTTCACTGCTTTTATGACAGTGTGGAAGTTGTTTTTATATGTTAGGCAACGACAACAAACAATACTTTTTATTACAACTATCAGTTCACTTTTAAATCTTCATAATCCAAGTTTGCTTCAAAACAAAACCCAGTAATGCGTATTCGGATAGTTACATAAACACTATTTCACAATAATTGACGTCACCGCTTCCAGTAAGAAACTAAGAATGGTAGGAAACAAACAAAGTGTGGAGACAGACCGTAAGATATTGCTCTGTGTACA